CCGGGGAAAAAGGCGTTCCTAACCGGAGCTGTGGTCTTGGTTTCTCCCTCAGCCCTCGGGAGCGCCGGTGGAGAACGACCCTCTGGGCGCGCTGCCCACTGGATGGGGTGAGTTTACCGGAGGCTGCCCCCCCCCCCCCCCCACACGGGACACCCGAGGCGCCGTCTCACCGTCGGCTGAAACCTGATTCTCACCGAAGTCCGCTTGGTGCCGGTTCCGTGGATTTCGCTGTTAGATGGAGCTCTTTCCCTGTTGCCCCCCCCCCCACCCCACCCCACCAGCCCGCGATGCCTTTCAGCATGTTGCGGTGCCTCAATTACCCCGCTGGCTCGAGGGTGCTCTTCTGGCTCGCCTTCCCCCCCCCCCCTTCTGTTTTCCTTCTGCGGTCGCGTCCCCCGGACTGCTTCTCTTTTAACATTTTAAAAACGCGAGATTAGACGAGACGAGAGGCGGGACGGTGGAGGTCAGGCTGGATATTATTGGGGGGGGGGCAATGTGAGCACTGCCGTTTCTGGGGCCTTAATGAGAAAAAGCTGTTGGGGGGCAACGGAAGGAGGAGGATGGGGCGCCAGTGTGTGTGTGTGTGTGTGTGTGTGTGTGTGTGTGTGTGTGTGTGCGTCACACAGGAATAAATCGTTATTCCGTGTTTAAGTTTATTCAATCTGAGCCATTTACTTTTTTTTCTTAAACCTCGGCCCCCATGTTAATATTCCCAACAACTCACACACACACACACACGGCTTTTACCCCGGCGAGGTATTTGTGAAATATCACACCGGCTCGCTGGCTTTCTATCGTGCCGGTGAGATTTTTTTTTTTTTTTTAAAAGAGCGAGCGAGAGAAGCGCTGCGGAGGTCTTTAGAACCCTACGCGACTTGCGTGAATATCGTCACGTGGGACCCCGTGTAGCCCGTGTAGCCGTGCGGTGACTCTTGGCGGGTCGGCGGGGGGTTATTTTTTCGGGGGAGGGGGGGCAGGTAAACCACGCCACGGCGTCACATTTAATAAAAAACGCCACGCACGTTGTTGTTTCTGTCCACAGAGAAGCGGCAGGACAACGGCAGAATCTACTTCGTCAACCACAACACGCGGACGACGCAGTGGGACGACCCCCGGACCCAAGGGTGAGAGAGAGAGAGAGAGTGTGTGTGTGTGTGTGTGTGTGTGTGTGTGTGTGCGTTTGCCTGCCTGCTTGTTAGCTGGCGTGTTGCTTTGCGTGTGTGCGGCTACTGAAGACAGATTTAACACACAGGAAGTAGCTCCTCGCCGATCAGGGCTTCAAAAGAACACACCGGCCTGCTTCAGGATTTGTGAGCTTACGGGACGGGACGGGGGGGGGGGGGCTGCTGCTCTATCTGCCTTCCATCTGATCATTTTGTTTCTGGCATCCCTTTATCATTTAAAGCGCTTCCTGTCCCCTCACCTCCCGCTCTCTTATTCAAACTGTGATCACTTCCACGTATGCGACGTCTGGGGTGAAAAAAGTGATTTGACTTTGGGTTTAATTTTGTTTTGCGTGTCCGTTAAAAAAAGTGTTCAACAAACAAAAAAACAATCAAATTGTCCAGATGAGGAGATAATAGGAGCACGTTTTGAAGCTCGCCGTTTTTGACCTCGGGACACAGGGGGGGAGGGGGGGGGGGGGGGGGACAAACAGGGGGCCGGGGGGGGGACGAGTTATTGCAGCCCGCGTTGAAGGGCCACTTTAAAACAAAAACCCAAACCCCCCGTATTTCCCCCCCTCCCCCCCCTGGGGGTCGTTTTGTGAGAGAAAATTGTCCTCACCTTAACAGCGCGGGGTCACGACCCCCCGGCCTCGCGCTCGTGTTTTGCCCCCCCCCCCTCGTAGTCCCGTCTGCAGGAAGGAGGGAAAATACGGGCCTTTGGACTTTGGCTCGACGCGGCGGCGGTTCTGTCGGGGCCTCAGATCCTCAGGGTGGACGGGGGAGGTGTGTCAGTTTCACCCTCCCTCCCCCCCCCCCCCTTCTTTTTGGGCTTGGGACCGTGCTCACTGCCCCCCCCCCCCCCCACCCCCTTCCCCCTTCTCCTGTTGCAGGATGATCCAAGAAGCCACCCCTGCCCCCGAGCTGAGAGATGAAGTACACCGCTGAGGGAGTGCGATATTTGTGGACCACAACTCGCGCACCACCACCTTTAAAGACCCCCGACCCGGGTTTGAATCCGGGTAAATATCCTCTCGGCCCGTCCGCCCGAAAAACCTGCTTCTAGTGTGGCAACGTCCACTTGAAATCATCCTCTTTCCTCCTCCAGCTGAAGTCATTTCAAACACCCCTCACATTCATGTACAACATCCTGCTTCCCACTTTTCTCTGCATCTTTTATCGAGCCCACGTTTTTTTTTTTTTCCATGTTACCTTTCTGTTCGTTTCTTCTCCTTTGGAACAGACAGAATCATCTTAAGCCTCACAGACACACACAGACACACACACACACACACAGACACACACACCTCTTCCCCTCAGCCTGTGGATGTTTGGCTTGAAACACTCTCCACCACAGAAGTGAGGAGAATGTGCAGATGTGCGACAGCGGATCCACTGCGGACTGCATTGGTGTGTGTGTGTGTGTGTGTGCGCACGCTTGTGTCTTTTCAGTTGTGTGTGTGTGCATCTGCAAGCAACTTTCCATGCTGATGTTTGAACGTGGTTTTTAGTGCGCTGGTTCACCGTCCTCGTGCAGCATGGTCTCCATTCCCCGAACCCAGCCTCCGTCTCTCGCTGTCCGGGCCTCAGCCTCTCTGGTGCTGACACGGCGTTTACGGTCGGCGGGGCTTATGCTAACACAGCTGCAGGCCCGGGCTGGCCTCTGTGCGCCGTGTGAATTTGATATTCCAGGTCTGGGGGGCCCTTGAACGTCGAGGGTCATTTTGATATCTTTGCCTCGCAATAACTGTAAAACTGTAATCCGTAAAACCCCCGATCGAGGCGCGTAGAAGGAGGCTGTTTAGATGAAAAATGCCTTTTTTGAGCTTTGACTTGTTTGCTTTTCCTGACGTTCATAAGAGCCGCCGGCAATCATTTACTAATAATGTCAGTTTTTAAAGCTCTAGGCAATAATAATCATAACAAACTGTGTATTAAAACATGACTCAAATTAATGAATAAATACATTTTATTTATTTTTTGCAGACCAACGCGTTTCTGTTGGTCATGTGACCAATGACCAGTTGTTTTTATCGTCATTTATTCTTCTTCATACATTTAACCCCTCCCAAAAAAATGACCCGAGTTCCTCCGCGTGTGTGCGTGTGCAGGTCACGGCAAGGCGGTTCCCCGGGCGCCTACGACCGCAGCTTCAGGTGGAAGTACCACCAGTTCAGGTTCCTGTGCCACGTGAGTACCGCAGATAACGGCGAGCCGCTGTCCACGTCCCAAAAAAAGGGCGTTTCACTCTTGACCCGCTGATGCATCTTTGTCCCTTTTTTCTTTTTGGGATCCGCCGTCCAGTCCAACGCTCTGCCCAGCCACGTCAAGATCTCCGTGTCCAGGCAGACGCTGTTTGAGGACTCGTTCCAGCAGGTCAGAGGCCTTTAACCCCCGGACACACGACACGGCGTTCAACGCTTTTCAACCCAAAAAAACATACGCGGCAAAAGTATTTCAATGACGCGTGTAAATATGTCGAGTGAAAACTGCCAGAAATATCCCAAATGTTGCCGCCCACTTAAAGGAATACAATGTACATGAGTGTGTGAACCGAGCAGACAGAAGCAGCAGAACGTGATACTGAGATAACGCCGCCGAGGTCCAACGCCGCGGCGCTCATTGTTTGTGGATTCCGTTCTGTTTGCCGGTGCCGATGGCTGGATCGCCCCGTCCCCGCGCTCAGATCATGAACGTGAAGCCGTACGACCTTCGCCGCAGGCTCTACATCATAATGAGAGGAGAGGAGGGGCTGGACTACGGCGGCATCGCCAGGTGAGGCCCCCTCTTCCTCTTCCTCCTCCTCCTCCTCCTCCATCATTAAGCATGCGGGTTCCCTTTATTATTGTTGCATAACTTCAACATGCTGCTGTGCTGGTCCTCCTCCTCCTCCTCCTCCTCCTCTCTGGTTTTTTGTGTGTCGGCGGCGTCCTCACCCCGTTAGTCTCCCCCGTCTGCTTGGGTCTCATTTCTCACGTCCCGTGTCTTGTCTCCGGTGTCGCGTCAGTGGTTTTACCCTATGGTAGGTGACATCATGCTGTTCTACCACAGGGTAGAACCACGGACGGGATGTCGTGAGGTGTCTGCGTCCGTCCGTCCGTCAGTCCATCCCCCCCATACCCCCCACCCCCCACATCCTCCTCCCCCCATAATGCCCGCGGGGGAGTGCGGGGGCCCCCTGGGAGCGCTGGGTGTGCTGGTGCAGCAGGTGGTGGTGGTGGTGGTGCTCATTCTGTCTTAACATGCATCCTTCCACAGTGTCTTTGTCTCCATTGGATTCTGCTGTGTTTGTGTGTTTTTGTCTACATGTCATTGATAGATTGTGTGTACGTATTCATACGATAATACACAGGTGATCTTTGTTGTTTTTTGACATCTCAAATGTATTTTTTTTTTTTTTTTCAAGCATTTATTTAGAATTGGATTTCTTTCCTAATTTTGTTTAATTTGGAATTTTATTTTAGGGTTTGATTGATTGAAATCTAACTCTTTTTTTCTAACATATTTTAATCAACCTCTACATCTAAATGAATTGTCCCGGGCATTCGGTGCAAACAAAGCGCCGGTTAAAGTTAGACGTGCCTTAAACCTAAAGACCGTATCTATAAATCAGAGTCACTCCTCTGGAGAATCCGTCTCATTGTCATTTATTTATTCATGTTTCCATTTCCACGCCCTGTCCTTGGATTAAATGTACCACGACTGCTGTTGCCAGATGTGTCCTCTCCTCCATATTCCCTGCCGCTGTTCACAAACCTCAACGTGTGTGTTTTATGATGCGTCTCCTCTGAACTGCTCTTGATCACAATGCACATCTGTGTGTGTGAGTGTCTGTGTGTGTGTGTGTGTGTGCGTGTGTGTGTGTGTGTGTGTGTGTGTGTGTGCGTGGTGCCCGTGCAGCCTCTCACGCCTCCTGCTGTGTTTCCCGCCCTGCAGGGAATGGTTCTTCCTGCTGTCCCACGAGGTGCTGAACCCCATGTACTGCTTGTTTGAGTACGCCGGCAAGAACAACTACTGCCTGCAGATCAACCCGGCCTCCTCCATCAACCCCGACCACCTCACGTACTTCCGCTTCATCGGCCGCTTCATCGCCATGGTGAGCTCCGCCCGGGCTCCACTACTGCATTAATACAGTACTACTCAATGTACAAACCGAGGATTCAAATGTAAACAGTACAATAAGAAAACCAGTGAACACACTCAGGTCTGAACGGCAGCATAAAACACCGAGGCATCCACGTTGTGCACCACGCCGCCGTAACTGGCCACCCGGAGGTCACCCGTGGGGCGGACGCGCAGGAGTGCGCCCTCGATCTGATGCACGCACACACACACACACGCAGCAGCAGCAGCAGCCACTTGCATTGCAAGCGGATTATCGCTCATGAGACGCTGCGGGGTGAATGACGTCATGTTCATCGTGCAATTAGACCGGAAACCACACGTCGCCAACCGCCCAGCGGCGTGTGTGTGTGTGTGTGTGTGTTTGCGAATGACTACATGGCGTCTGATCCCCCCCCCCCCCCCCCTCCAGGCTCTGTACCACGGGAAGTTCATCGACACCGGCTTCACCCTGCCCTTTTACAAGCGGATGCTGGACAAAAAGCCCACGCTCAAAGACCTGGAGTCCATCGACCCGGAGTTCTACAACTCCATCACGTGGGTCAAGTAAGTATCGCCGGGACCCCCCGGGGGGGGGGGGCTTGTTTCCTTTTTCTGCTTGAAAGGCCAAAAATTTTGTCTTTCCGGCTTTCGTTCTTGTGACTAAATGAAAATGTGTCGGCCGACGTGAACGTGTGTGTGTGTGCGTGTGTGTGTGTTCAGAAACAACAACCTGGAGGAGTGCGGCGTGGAGCTGTACTTCGCACAGGACATGGAGATCCTGGGGAAGGTCTCCACCCACCAGCTGAAGGACGACGGCGAGAACGAGCTGGTCACGGAGGAGAACAAGGAGGAGTACATCGGGTGAGTTCACGCAGCCTCTGGAGGAGCAGAGGTCACGGGGGGGGGTCGGGGGGTCGCCCAGCCTTTAAGATGGCCCGCTCTTCCTCCCCCAGCCTGCTGACGGACTGGAGGTTCACCCGCGGCGTGGAGGAGCAGACCAAGGCCTTCCTGGACGGCTTCAACGAAGTGGTTCCTCTGGAGTGGCTCCGCTACTTTGACGAGAAGGAGCTGGAGGTGAGGACAACGCGCCGCACCGTCAGCTGCGTTGGTTTAGTGAACCGCGTCCCGGCGCGGAGACGGACGACGGGCCGTCCACACCGTCCCGTACTGAAGGAACGTCCGTCCGTCTCTTCCAGCTGATGCTGTGCGGGATGCAGGAGATCGATATGGCTGACTGGCAGAAGAACACCATCTACAGACATTACACCAAGAACAGCAAGCAGATCCACTGGTTCTGGCAGGTACGGACGCACACGCGCACACTCGCACACACGCACACACACTCTGTCCAGGGAGTGACGCAGTCGTGTACCTGCAGGTGGTGAAGGAGATGGACAACGAGAAGAGGATCCGCCTGCTCCAGTTTGTGACGGGGACGTGCCGGCTGCCTGTCGGAGGCTTCGCTGAGCTCATAGGTACGTTGTTGTGTTTCTTTAGGCTTTATTTTTCCATCTGATTATTTATTTAAGCGTAACATGAACATAAATTACTTATTATTATTATTATTATTATTAGTATCATTATCCAGACGTTAAGCTCCGGGAGATTCTATATTTTCTTGCCCTTATTGGCACGGAAAGCTTTTATTTTGAAAGATCAGTATAAAGGTTCAATCCACATTGCATGGTGAGTGTAACTTGTTGAAATCTTATCAGCAGTATTTAAAAGGCTTCAAAAACCCTGCGGTCTTATTTCGATCACGGTTTGGTGACTTTGATTCTTCTTCCTGTGCAGGAAGTAACGGCCCCCAAAAGTTCTGCATAGACAAGGTGGGGAAGGAGACTTGGCTTCCGAGAAGCCACACATGGTAAGCTGCCAACCTCTTCTCGCGCATGTGGCTTTGCGTTCTGATCTCAGTGAGGAAACGGCATGTGAAACAAAGCGGGAACGTGCGGTACGGTAGGTCTCCCGTCATGCACCTTCTGCCCGAGGGTCCTCCTCCCGGAGAGAGAGAGAGACCCAGTGACCCCAGTGACCCCTCTGCCAGCGTCAATAAGTGAAATAAAGCAGTGGTGTCGTCCGCGCAGCTTCAACCGACTGGACCTGCCGCCCTACCGGAGCCTGGAGCAGCTGCGGGAGAAGCTGCTGTTCGCCATCGAGGAGACGGAGGGATTCGGACAGGAGTGACGCGGGGGGGGACGCTCGATGGACGGGACAGAGCTGAAAGATCAGCCGTCGTCTACGGCCGCTCACCTGGACGGACGGGGGGGGCGATGTCATGGAATGCAATAGTGCGTGTGCGTGTGTGTGTGCGCTCAAATTGATGCCAGGTTGTATATGCATAAAGATGTGTGTGTGCCCATGTAGGTTAAACAGGAAGTCAGACAGAGAGTAATATTTGCCTAGTGTGTGTCTGTCCCCCCCCCCCCGTACCCAACACACACACACCCCAACTCACCGCTTGGAAACCCACCGAAAACCAGACAACCGGGTAGTTTTAACTCCAGTATAACATATCTACCAGAATGACATTGTAACACCGAGACGACGGGAGGGAGAGCATGTGCGTGTCTGTACGCGAGGGGACATGAGAAAGTGAGATGAAATGTGATTTTTACTTTAATTTTTTTTTTGTTAGTTGTGAAATTCAGCATTTTTCCTCTGTACATAACTAAAATAAATGAGATTTCAATCTGCTCTGGTTTTGTTTTTCTTCTTTTTGGAGCGACTGTGACGTGATACCGTATTACTACATGTTCTAAATAAGAGTAAAGGCCTTAACATTGTAACGAGGGCAGCGTTGGCGCGACGTGAGCACAGCGCGCACGCGGCATTTTAAAGTTCGACCTTTAGCGTCGACTCTGCATTGCTGTCTATATGACCTGTGAGTTGGAAGAGCCAAACGTGGTTTAACAACCTTCATCCTTTCTCTAAACATGCATTCGTCAAAGTAATCAGCTATTAGGGATTTATAGTTATAGACTAGAACTGAATGTGATTTGATCAAATTTATTTTGCAATAGCTCTTACAAATGTACTTCAGCATCATTGCCACAAAATAATAAAAATATAGAATCACTTAAATATCTGCTTAATTAGTTAAAAAATATATATAATATATATATATATATATAAATTATATATACAGTACTGAGCATACTGTGGTATTACTATTTTTAATGCCATTTTAATAGTATTTCTTTCCTCTATTCTGTATGTGTTTTTATACATTAGCGAGGTATATTTCATCATTCTAAATATTCATAGTCAGTGTTTCAGGATCAGGATCAGGAATCAGGAAACATTTATTAGCCAAAATATGTCAAACATACAAGGAATTTGTGCACAAGTAATAAAATAAAGTGGAATGAAATGCTAATGCAATGGGTTAGTAGAATAAGGCTAAGGCTATGGGTTAGTATAAAACAAGGGAATAAAGGTAAAAAAAAATTTAAATATTAAAAAGAAAAATATTAAGCATTTGTTTGTACTTTTTATATTTGGCTGATACTGTTATTTTGAAAAGCTTGGAATCGCATTGTATTCTACGCCCATCACTTAAACTAACATAATATCTATTAACACTGTTTCTGCTGCATATACTGCTACAACTACGAGGACACTACTATGCTCAAGCAGTTTTATCCAGCGGCTAATACATACATCCATATCAATGTAACGGCGAAGGACTTTTATTGTGAAGGTGGAGATCTCCTCGCCTCGGCCCGGAAGTAATCCTCTGGTTTCCTCGAGATTCCTCCGGGGAAGATCGGTCGAGTTGGTGGAGCTGGAGATATTGTTCGCCTCTGGTTGGTGTGTGACATCGCGGTGCGGTGCGGCGCGGCGCGGTGCGGTGCGTTGCGGTGCGGCGCGGCGCGTTGCGGCCCCCGCATGGCGCTCGCGGATGAAGTGGCCGCGTTGTGCCTGCAGCGCTGGAAGCAGCTGCCCCGCACAGGGAAGCCGGAGCCCGGCAGGGAGTGGACGCTGCTGGCCGCCGTGCTGCAGGTCACCCGCTGTGCGAACGCAGGTCGTAGTTCACGCGCGCAAACACCGTTAACTTTTAGCTTTTGTCTAAGCGGCGGGTACGACGTCAGCTCACCGCCGTCTAAACGAGAAGCAGCCGCAGCTCCACCAGCGGCCTGCAGGGGGCAGCGGAGGCCACGTCCTCCAGTAGCAGGAGGACAAAATGAAGACACAGACAGTAGAGCGTGAAGAGGAAGACACGTGTCGCTGTGATGAGTTATGTTCTAATCAAATCCTTCTTGTCTCTTTCTTAGTTAAGAAGGAGGTCGTGTCCCTGGGAACCGGGACCAAGTGTGTCGGGCAGACGGCGATGAGTCCCAGAGGTGTGTGTGTGTGTGTCCCGTTCCTGTCTCCTCAGTCCACCCAAAAAGGACAAATAGGTTTTAAAGCTCCCACAGAAGTGGTGCATTCGTGTTTCCTGCGGAATAATAAGTTCAACGGGGCCTTTTTTCCTTTTTTGTTTCCTTTGGGTCTTTCTGCAGCGGTTTGACCTCTTGTTACCTTTTGTCCTTTGGCTCTTTGTTGTCATTGTGTTGCTTTGTGGTTTTTATTTGGAGGCTTTTCGTGTCATTTCAACGTGTCCTCTCATCCGCTCAGGGGACGTGCTCAACGACAGCCACGCGGAGGTCCTCGCTAGGAGGGGATGCATCAGGTGTGAGACCTCACGGTTAGTTGGTTCTTTTGCCGCCGCATGTCGAACACTGACGTGCTACCACGTTGTGTGTGTGTGTGTGTGTGTGTGTAGGTACCTGCTCCAGGAGCTGAAGCGGGCCGTGCGCGGCGAGGAGAACTCTGTGTTCGCTCCGGCAGATCAACGGGGGAAGTGGAAGCTTCGGCCCGGCGTTTCCTTCCTCTTCTTCACCAGTCACACTCCCTGTGAGTCCGGACGCCGGCAGCTCGCCATTCCCGCTCGGATAAATGGAGATAAAAGATGTCCGAATGTCGTTGCGCGTTCCCAGGTGGCGACGCCGCCATCGTCCCCGTGATCGACGGCCGGTCTCGGCCCCGCCCGCCCGCCACGTCCACGGAGAGCCACAGAGGAACCGACCTGAAAAGGGCCGCTGAGGAACCGAACGAAGCAGACCGCGCGAAGCGACCCCGTCCGGAGGAGGAGGAGGAGGAGGAGGAGGAGGAGGAGGAGGAGGAGGCGGCGGCTCCGGAGGACGGGGGAGACACGGGGCGATCCGTCCTGCAGAGTCCCGCCGACGAGGCGCCGCCGCCGCCGCGAGTCCCAGACATTCACAGGACGGGGGCCAAGTGCGTGCCGGGGGGCCCGGCGGTCCCCCTGACCCCCGGCGCCGGTTACCACAGCACGGGAGCGCTGCGGGTGAAGCCCGGGCGAGGAGCGCCGACCCGCTCGCTCTCCTGCAGCGATAAGCTGGCCCGCTGGGGGGTGCTGGGTTTCCAGGGCGCGGTGCTGTCCCACTACCTGCAGGAGGCGCTTTATTTCGGCACCGTGGTGGTGGGGGGGTGTCCCTACAGCCAAGAGGTCATGCAGAGAGCTCTGGTCACACGGTAAGGGCCGAGAGTAGAAGTAGTCACGTTCCCATGGACTCGCCACGCGCGCCCAGAGGAGGCGCCGCCCCCCCCCCCCCGGTGGTGACGAGGGAGAATGCACGCTCGGAGATCGCCGATCGGTGCTGAAGCTGCACCGCTTGCATTTCAGGCTTTATCCATTTATATCAAAATAGGCCGATTTTGACGCGCTTGGATGTCCACCGTTATCGGCTCACGCCCTCAGCAAAGTGGGGCGACCCCCCCCCCCCCCCGTCACTGCTCGCTAACCCTCAAATCTCTGCGCGCAGGTTCCGCCTGGTGCAAAGTGGAGCTTTTCCATTCCTCCCTGTCTCTGGTAGCGGCCACTGACCCCGAAGCGCTTCCCGACTCCCCTCCGGTAACAAACAATAGACCTCCTTGAACGACGGCGCCGAAGAGTCGAATCGGTTGTCTGTTTGTGGAGAAAACTCTGTTCTCGTCTGCTGCCTAAAAGCGACACGCGTGTGCGTGTTTGTGTGCGTATGTGTGTGTCCAGGGGAGCCGAGCTGAGGACGTACTGGGACTTCAAGCGGGCGTCCCGCCCGTACCAGCAGGCCTGGGAGCAGCTGCGCCGCCAGGCGTTCCCTCTGTGGCCGCGCTGCGAGCGCTCCCTCCTGTTCTTTTGCTGAAACGCGGCGCCCCCCCCCCCCGGAGGTTCCCAGCTCCCGGGTGGGGGGAGGGGGGGGGAAACGCCGACCGTCCCGCTTTATTTTGACCGAGGACAAGCCGGCCGGGCGCCTCGGATGGCGGATTTCAGTGTGCGATTCGTATCCGATGTCCTGCCTGAATTAATGCAACCACAGCAGAATCACATCAGCTGTATTGGCCGTGTGTGTTTTCTTTGTTCTCCATAGTTTTTTTACAAATAAACAACAAAAAGATCAAATGTGTCCAACCAAAAACGTTCATAGATCTGCGCAAATTTAGTAGTAGCTTGCCATGACCTTTTGACCTCGCTCGTATAGACCCGAGAACCCGGGGAACAGCTGTGTCCCTCACGAAGACCGGACAGGGACTGGCGATCGGTTGCGTTGTGGATTCCTCGTGTTGTTAGTTAGAGGACACATTAGGCCCTGTGGTCCTAACTGGACGTGACAGTGTCTGTTCGGAATGTCAAAAACAAGGGTCGCATAGTTTCGCAGGCAGGAGGGATCTGATGCATTGTGGGATGTGGCATTTACGTTCATGTCGGATGTCCAGCATTGAGGCAGCGCTGCTTTTGCACTTGTAGAATGTCGCAAAATGCCCATAAATGTGTGTTAATCACTTATCAGAATGAAAATGTTGTCCTCGTTTCAATCTTGGGTTCCTTTTGTAAAATGTTAATTTATCTTTTGTTGCGTGCTGAATGTGCTAAAGCTTTTCTTTCCGGAATCCAATTGTTCTTTTCCTTTTAAACCCAAAATAATTTTAAAGAATCATGGTTGTTTACATTAATTGAACCCCGAAATTTGCCTTGTTTTGACATTTGTATTGATGAGACATTCTAAATATAGCTCTTATTTTGTATTTGGTATAAAATATAAAAACAGTTAAGTATATTTAATGTATTTTGGCGTCACTACCTCATATTTATGTTCATAGAAGAATGATTTGCAACCAAGGTCCAAAATTCCCATTAACATATTAATCATATACCTCATTAATGAGAGAAACGATTCATGATTTGCTTTAAATTATTTTTTATTAGTCAGCTCTTCCAGCTCCCTTTTGTAGGATATCTAAAACTTTTTACTTATGCCATTTAAGATATACTAAACACACAACACTGATAAAAACTACCGTATACCATAGCATTCCATCAATATATTACACATCTACATACCATGTTTAAAAGCCTGAATGGGCTTAGTGGTGCACATATATATATAAATATATGAATACTGAGCCATGATGCCAGGGGAGGCGGGAATGTATCTAGAACGCGACCATCATCTGAGTGGTTCAGACTTTACTCACAGTATCAGAGGCTGATGAACCCTCAACATTTACATTTGATATTTTTATCAACTAACATTTAGAGGCTTGTGTGGTTTAAGTCATCACAACATTAAAAGATGTATTGTCAGGGTCCAATACAGGGAAAATAAAAAGATGTCACGATAATGACGACTGGCTCACAGTGCGCCCGTCTGAACAGAAACCAGTTCTACAAAGCAGAATTAACGTTAGCCGTTAGCGGCTAGTGGGAGGCCCATTGACCGGGTGAGCCAGTTAACGTTAGCCCATAGCTTCTAGTGGGAGGCCCACTGCCCGGGTGAGCTAGTTAACGTTAGCCCATAGCTTCTGGTGGGAGGCCCACTGCCCGGGTGAGCTAGTTAACGTTAGCAGCTAGTGGGAGGCCCATTGACTGGGTGAGCTAGTTAACGTTAGCCGTTAGCAGCTAGTGGGAGGCCCATTGACTGGGTGAGCTAGTTAACGTTAGCCGTTAGCAGCTAGTGGGAGGCCCATTGACCGGGTGAACTAGTTAACGTTAGCAGCTAGTGGGAGGCCCATTGGCCGGGTGAGCTAGGTAACGTTAGCCGTTAGCAGCTAGTGGGAGGCTCACTGCCCGGCTGAGCTAGTTAACCTATCCAGTCACAATACCGAGACCTGGGCTTAGTACATCGGTACCAGTGTTTAGTTGCTCACCGTGTGGGAGAAGCTGGGACAATTATTTAATTTTTATAAACTAACGACTAACTTTCATCATAAACATAAATCCAAAGATATCGCTTTACTGAATTGTTATTTATTAATAAAATAATTTGTATACCAGCATGTTGTTAAAACTTCTTCAAAATGAACGGAATTAACTTGTTTTGCCCGGGATGGTAATGATACATCACAATTCAACTTTGACTAAAGTGTTGGCTTTCTTTAAGCAGGTTTGTGTCTCGCTGTCGTCCCTCACGATGTGCAAATTTACAAGAGGAAGCACTTTAAAAGTGTGGCAGGAGCAGCAGCGGCCTTCTCTACGTCTCGCATGCACGTGGTCGTTCTCTCGGACGCTCACAGTGCTGAGCGCTCCTGTGGCATTAACGTTAAATACTGACGTTTTACTACATACATACATACAACTGGCTATGCAAATATACCCATAAGGCGGTTGATGATTCTGCTCCAGCGATTATTCTTTGTCACTCCGGCTGAACACAAATATCTGTGACAACAAAGCTGACAGAAAAACGTAGCATGATTGGTGTTTGTGCGTGCGTGCGTGTCAAAGCCTAAATAAGTTCTCTTTAAACGTGTAATACTGACGTCAGTGTGACAATGAATGACGTGCTTGTAGCGTGCGTTGATTCTTACTTTTTGCTGACATTTCTCCCCACAAGTGACCTTTGTGACAGCGGTCGTGACCAGAACAGCCATTAAAACTCAAGCGTTTCTAGCAAGTTTGCGACCTGTTTATGGGGCTAAAATCTGTGTTTTTCAGTATCAAAAACAGGCCGTAAATTGCTGAGCCGAGTGGGTGGGTTACTTGCACAACACGCGAAATGTTTGAAACGCGGCGCTCCAGTTTATGCCGAGCCCTCCTGTGTGTGTGTGTGTGTGTGTGTGTGCGTGTGTGTGTGTGACGTTAACCGTGTGTTGTATAAAAGGCCTTGAAACCAAAGGTGTTCTCTCCGCTGTAGGCCACGTACAGGAATCCGTCCTCGTCCTTCTCCTTTTCGTACAGCTGCCCCATGGTGAGACTGCAACACAGGACACAAACAGCAGCTAAGCACCATACATCTGCCACATATATATATATATATATATATATACTGTATATATATAGACCGATACAAGAGATCATTCCTGCCCAGTGCAATAACACTTTACAATAAATCATCCCTGGCTAAATAATGACAATAACAACCGTGTACTGCTGTGATGTTGCTGCTCTTCCTCTTCTCTTTTTACAAATTATTATTATTGTCTCTTTTGGAAGGTTATTCTTTTGTTTCAGTTTTAGTTTATTTAATTTAATCTAATATTTCTATCTCATTATATTGTATATAATGTGTATCTTTTTATTCTATCTATCTATCTAAGCAGCCTCTCATGATGCCACGCCCCTCCCTGCTGATGCCACGCCCCCTATCCTTTGAATCCGAAAATATAAAATCTGCAACTGAAAAACATAATACCATAAATATCAAAAATATATTCAAATGAAGAATAAAATAAAAAAAATTCAAACACTTATCTTCAACCCCAAAATACCGTCCACTTATTTATATTTTGAGTACACTGTTGAATTTTCGGGTTGACATTTGTTTTTCAAATCGATCAAAACTTTTGGGCCTGGATTTGGCTCCAAACGCCATGTGACTAACCGGTGGTGCACGTTCGAATACATCAGAGCCTCCGCTAGCGTTGCTAGGAACAGCGGTGCTTTTGCTTCTAAACACATCGGAGGATTCAGGTTACAACCCTTGGAACGGCGCCGTGGGATCTGGAGTGCGTCTGCATTCCTGCATCCCACTCAATGGATCCATTATGATATTGGCGAGAGAGCGCGGGCTCGTGGCAATTACACTCACATCCACCTTTTATACGTGTGAGACAACAGCTCTCTTGTCTCATTGTCCGCTGGAGATACGGTGGTGGAATAAGGAGATGCTGGGTGACCTCTACAGAGTCGCGCAGTATTCGACCGTGGTCATGTGACTTAGCGTGGTAGCATAGTGCAGGGCTGCACGGGAGATTGTTATTCCCCTTCAAGAGCCACGAGTGCAAACTTAGGTGTGTGGCAGCCTCCACAAGAGAGACGCGTCGGTATCGATGTGATGCGGAGTTCTGGTAAACGGAAACACAAACGGAGGACTGTTCGTTTTAGGTGGGAGTACCTGAACATGCCGCACGGGGACTGACATCTAAGTGACACACTTAGTCGGACTGAAATGGAATGATCGCGGCATGTGACGGTGAATCGGATGAGGAACTGGACTTGCTCGAGATCCCGACGGCGTCTCCTCTCCGTTATCAAATCGAGCCAATAGCGCCATTCGCATTCGCTGTGCTCCTATTAGCGTCGCGCACAAATAGCGCAAGATCAGTACCCGCTGACTCGTACTGTGCTTTATTCCCTCGACTAAATAGGACCTTTATTTACTAAAACGCACATGACGACGTGAAGCTATCTGCCGACAACATGATTTACCGAGGGAATAAATCACGGGAGAAGCAGAGTAAAGTCGTCCCTGGTGGAGGCGGAGGGTGGCTGCAGGTTTAAGGCACTTCCACGTGGAAGTGGGGAGTTTCGGGCCCAGGAGACGCCGAAGGCGGATGGAGCAGAATTCTTTCCCGTAGTGAAGTAAAAAAAAAAAGCCCCTTACAAGAGCAGGACCGGAAACGTAAGGTTCTTTGAGGACTTTTTACTGTTTTTTACTGTTTTTTTTTTTGTGCCGTTGCCATTTCCCTTTTCAAATGTTCTCAAAGTGAAGCGGCGCTCTCACCTGGACGGGGGGACAGTCTTGTCGACGAAGAGGAAGATGGCTTTCTCCGAAGGCAGCTGGATGCGCTTCCTGATGATCCACATGAACTGGGCCACCGTGATGTCAGAGGGCACCAGGTACTTCCTCTTGTCGATGTCCACTATCTGAGAGCCCGACACCTTCTCCACTATCACCTGCAGGCACCAGCGGTAACAGAGAGAACTGGGTCACGATACTGTGGGACGCCATCAGCCCTTCCTGCAAGTGTGGCAACGGCTTTTTCAGGGGGCATTTAGAGGCGGGTGGGGTGTAATTAGCCATCGTGTGCCCACTACTCACCGGTACTCTGTCGGGGTATTTGTTGCGTATCTTGGCGGACTCCACACATCGGTGCTCTGAAGGAGAGACAGCGAAACACACACAGGAGGTCGGGATTAAACGGGATGAGAGAGGCCTCCTGGCAGCCCCCCCCCCCCCCCCCGAGCGGGACCAAGTCGGGGAGGGATAATCTGTTCCAAATCCCAACCACACGGCCGAGAGCGGGCGGAGGCCGCGGAGGTGACGGGTGATACCACGTGGGAGGGAGGGGGGGTGGGATGCATTTAGGTTCGGGCGCGTCGCAGGCTCCTATTAGCCCAGATAAGAGGTCTACTTTTGGAAAAACGTCTCCAGCAGCAGAGCTCGGGGAGAAAAGAAGAAGTGGGGAGGTCAAGTGAAGAGGATGCGAACGCGGGACGCGGTTCTCTCATGCAGCCGCCTGGCAGTCTGAGCGATGCTGAATATTGATATTATCAATTAATTAGCGCGGCATGCGGTTAAAGATCTGGAACAAAATTTTAAGACAACACTCTCAAATGATGCGACGATACACGATCACTTGTCACCTCAACTAAATGTCTTGCTCTCATTGGTGTTTTTGCTAGAAGGGGTCGCTGTCTATGCTGTTAACCCATCACTCTGGAACCATGTACGGTTCCTGCACGCAGAACCCTAAAGCTGGAGCGCCTCACGGTTCCCGTAACGAACCCCATTACCGAGGGAATGGTCCTCTTTGAACATCCATTTCATCGTGGCCGGGACGCCGCACGGAGGCGTGATGGCGGCGGGAAGACGGCGAGGAATCCAGAGGGGGGGAAAAACGAGCGGAATCAGAACGTCAACAACGCCTCGCCGCCCGGAGCCTCCCTGCTGTCCGTGTCCCTGTCAGTGACGTCACCGTCCGGGAGCGCATAACCGCGGTGCCTTCGCGGTCTCCCGGAAAGAAATCGCCCTCCGAAGGTGTCCCACATTGGTTGGAGAAATACTGGTATTTTGCTTTAAGGAACAGTGCAGGATAATATATTACTTTGTTCAGTAAAGGTACTTCGTTCAAAAAAAGCACCGGCAGGTATTGGCATCAACACACAACCAAGTACTCGTTATGCAGAACATTCCTGCATCAGGTTTATAATAGGATTATATGGATAAGAGGTATTTACGCATTAATATGTAAGGTACCTCAAAGGTTTTCGATGTGGAATTCAGAGCCTACGGCTCTCGCAACAGATAAGCCAATAGCTAGAAGCTAACCGTGCGGTCAAAGCTAACTGACCTAGATGGAACCGGAGGGTGGCGCATAATCCGCTGATGTATTAATATAATAATTACCTATTCGCATGAATCAGAAATGTAACCAGTAGTCATCAAGTTATCAAGCAATTGTACTGAAGGAAAAAGTAGAATATTGTCTAAATTAAGTGAGAGGGAGCGGATCCTTTGTCATCAGTGGTTCCCGCCGTATAACAGCGTGTTAGCATGATGAGCTAGTCACACACACACACACACTAAAAGCATACACACTCTGATTACAACACACGCCGACAAAGAGAGATTTCATCCTATGTTGATGATATGATTTTTTTATTCAAGTAATGTATTCTTTTGTGTCTTTGTGAAAAAATGTGATAATTGTATGTACAAAAGGAACATGTGATGTGTTAAAAGGGGAAGGTGCCCCCCGAGGATCCAGATGTTTACTCACACTGAGTGAGCAAAACTACACAAGTGTCAGTAAAATGTTGGCAAAAATACTTCAAAACCGTGATTGCTTCTACTTATAAAAAAATTAATAATTATGTAAAATAAAATTGTTCATGTATTTATTGTTATTTTTTTAAATCTCTAAACTGCCAAATCATCACATTAAAGTTATTCAAATGATGAATGTGATGAGTGGGAAAAAAAGCTTCCGGAGCGAAACAACAAACGTCCTACTGTAACGGAATCCCCTGAACGCGGCACAAAGCTGCCACCGGCAGCCATGGTAACCGCGCGACGCTAGCTAAGCCGAAACACGGCGCGGTGTTCGGCGCTGGACCAGCCGGGAGGCCGACGCGAGTAGCCCGTTGGGGCTCCACGTCTTACACTTATCGAGCCTTAGTCTTCGTTTGTTACACTTGTTTGTCGCCCGCGAGCGTTTCCTCGCGCTCCTCCCCCGGCGGGACTCGACGGTAACTGAATGTAGCTCGTATGCTAGCTGCTAGCTAGCTAGCTAGCCAGCCAGCTAGCTGCACACTTGATGCTCCAGCGCGCCAGTTCTAACTCTACGTTTACAGATGGCTTTCTATGACGTCTATTCTCACCCGGCTTTGATTCGGTACAAGACGAGTGTGTGCACGAAAGCGACGCTGTTTCTGCTCGTTGTTTTGTGCCTCACCTACATCTCACCCCTGCTCGTTGCCTACAGGAGCCACGGTACAGTAACCCAACGCACGTCCAACCTCCCCCCCCCCCCGGGGCCACTAAATGCCTCGTGGTGTGTAAACGTGACGTGGCGGCTCGTGTTGTTTCAAACAGGTTTCTGGATAAAAAGAAGCACCTACGAGGAACAACCGGATGTGAGGTTCCAGTACCAGACGCTGCTGGTGGCAGCGACCAGTCCTCGGGGAGACTACGTGGCCTGGAGCACCTTCCCCCGTCTCAACGACATGCTGGGGGCCAACCTGCGCATCCCGTCTGTCTCTGTGAGGAAGCACCGTGTGTCCCCCCCCTTTCCCTGCATGACGATTAAATGATTAATTTCGCAACATCAGGGTCTGTCAAACTGTTCCAACGGCGCGTCTTTTCTCTGACGTGTGTCTAAAAGGTGAGAGAAGATGACCACAACCGGGACGGGAAGTCTGATCTCCTGATTTTCCGACTGCAGCTACCCATAAAGCCGGAGGAGCAGGTGTACAGCGTCCAACTGCTGCTCACCTTCAGCTACAAGCTCTTTGTGTGTATCGCTCACCATCCAGGGCAGCCTCACTCGCTCAAAGTCGCCCCGCTGAACTAAAAGTGTCCTCTTTGTTTGCCCCAGCGGATGTCCACGGTGGTGATGCAGAGCCTGGCTTACGTGCAACACTCCTCACCCGTCCCCGGGGCGAAGCTGTCGGTCAGCGGAGACCTGAGGCTGATGCAGAGGACGCCGCTGCCTCACCGCGGGCTGCACGACGTCTACAACGTGAGCGTGCGCTCCTGCTCTCGCCGACCAGGCGAAAAGGGCCGTTTTAGAAATGGGGGAGAAGCGAGGCTGCGATTGGATGAATGAGAATGGAACAAAGATGCTCTTCTCATAAGTCCAGGTCCTCCTCGCTGAGTTGTGGTGTTTTTTTTTTTCCTTTTGATTGACATGATCTCGTGCCGCCCTCCCATCACATCCTAGATCCAATGTCCTAATACTGTCTGGATGTAAAAGGGAAATTTAAACAAATATTTTAAAATTGAACCGCCGACCCATCTTCAAGGTGTCTTTCTTTTACTCAAGGTGTCGGTGATCGACGGCTCCAGCCCCTTTGCTAGTGCGTACAACCTGGACGGCATCATCCGCCGCTACCAGGAACGAAACCGTAAGTCAACAAAAGCATCTCATTGGAGTTTGCTTGGACGTCACCGGCTCCATCGTGGGTGCCGTAGAACATAAAAGGCGTTTCTCCTCCCCGCAGTGACCACAGTCCTGTCCTGTCCCATGCCGGTCTGGACGGTCGGCCGCGCCGCCGGTTCTCCCTTCCAGCTCGACGCTGAGATCCGGTACCCCATGGAGGTCATTAGATATCCTTTAAAAAAAAAAAAATGAAAACGTCTCTGTGTACGACGCGTTCCTCGATGCACGAGGCACTGCGGGGGGGGCTCATCGATGTGGGGGAGCCGTCTCATTCATATATACACTCTATGCTTCTCTAAAATAGCCTGAAATACTTGTGCACGAGTAGGTTAAATCGCGGGCCGAACACCACAAAGGTGCTTTACGAAGCAACCAGGACATCGTCATCCTTCATGTCTCAGTGACCGAATAACACATCCTTTTAGCCTCCTTTGTTAGCGATGAGAAACCTGAGTAAACGGAGCTGAAATGAGCGTTGGTTTACTTTGTCTGGGCCGGTTGCCGTCTTTTGGGCTTCTTCTTCAAAGCACAGGATCCATTCATGTCACGCTGAGAAATCGGGCGAGGCCGACGCCTTGTTTCCCCAGGTACCTTGGGATCAGGGGTTTTCCGGTTTTTTTTTTGAATTTTCGGGTTTGGTTTCCGTTAAGCCTCCTTCACCTTCTTCCCCCTTTCCCCCCGGGTTTTTGGGAACCCTTAAAACCCCCCGGGATCCAGAACTTCGGCTTCTTCTTCCCTTTCTTTGGGCTTCCCCAAGGGTACCGGGGGTTTTTTTCCCAAACCCAGTTCTTCCCCACCGTGCCGGTGCGGGCGGGAAAAGCTCACCGTTCGTGATGCTGCTCTCGACCTCCCTTCTCAACCCGGGGGGGGGGGGGGCGGTTGGCGATGCCAATAGCCGCTGGCGAAACGCAAAGATGTGTCCTTCCAACTGGTTTAGGAGGTGATAACCAACCAAGATCTCGCCGTAGTCCCTTAATAATTTGTTTCAATGTGTTTTTCACGTGTTGTTGAACCTCTACAGGAAGCACGTCAGTACTCGCACCGGAAAAAACGCATTTCTTCTGGCAGATTTCTAGAAATTGCTGACCGGTTTTCTATATTTTTACCGTTTGTATGTTTATGACAACTTAGTCGTGGGATTTATTGCGGATGAGCTCATTGGTTGTTTGTGTGTTGTACGCAGCGTTGGTGTTGGACAATAAAAACTAAAAAGTACATTTGCATGACATTAAATTGCAGTGATTTCATTTTACTTCACGTTTATAAGCACTAGAAGAATCGTCGCGTGGCCGTTCATGGGCTTTGGCTACTGTTTTATACCTCCTTGCTTTCTTTTTTTCTCAAGTCAAGAGATTCAATTGTAGTCAAAGCAGAGAAAACGGTTGAGTTATTTAATGTATAACAGGAATAATATAAAACTGAGAACTTTGGCGGAGTTTCTCATTTACTTCCTTTTGTAATGTGTTTTGTGGAGGAATAAACTTCAGCGTCATGGTTTTAATTTCCCCTCTGGTGACTCTCGTGTGTGTGTGTGTGTGTGCGTGTGCGTGTGCGTGTGTGCGTTCTGGACCTGTACCACTGTGTTAGCTCATCTAAGCCGCCACATCCGCTAATTTGGGTTGGACCAAACGCTGCGGCGAGGCGCGCCCAGCGCGCTCCACTACGTCACTCCCCCCGTCTGCCAGAGGGCTTCACGCACAGACGGATGGAAACAAACTGCCATTCAGCCGATTAAAACACGCACAACGGCGTGAATCAAATCATGTTTGGGATCGTCGAAACATCCGCCATTAAAGGAAAAGGGTTCACCCAAAATCTAAAGTAACAATTCTTTTTCAGACCCGGATTTAAAGGGGCAGATTAGGCCGTCTTTACCAGGCTCTCCCACACTGGGCGAAAAAAATAAGCAAAACCCATAGGAAACATATCAACAAGATCTGAAGGAAATGATCTGTTAGACAGAAAATCACTCGTCACGGAGGAATACCTCAGAAACCCAAGGTCGCTCCATTAGGAGGAAAACCCCAAATGCTATAAAAAGGCTCAAGGCTCATTCTCAGGGAACATTTAAGTGACATATTTCAGGAAAGTGATGGCCTGCGGATCACCGGAAGGAGTTTTTTCCACCCGTTGTTTTGTGGACGCTATGCTAACATGCGTTTGCCACGTTCGGGCTAGTCAGATTAGCACGTTAGCATCGCCAGCACGACGTCATCGGTTTAGCTGGTGATGGCTCACAAAACGTCTCATCTGACAAAGTGATATGTTTTTTAAATCCCAGGTTTTAGGCCGTATCCTCCGGGAACATTTAACTCCGCAATCGCGTTATGACTCAAAATGCCGTGGTTGCATTTCTGTCCGTTTTACAACCAGGCTGCAGAAGCACCGTCGCCCTCCGCCCGTCGCCTCCTCATCCAGCTGGCGTTTACTGCTGACCAAAGGCTTCTGGCTCGGCGGTGGAACAGGAAATGACAATGGGGTTGTGTTTATTTGTTTTTCACGAGAACCAGCTGCATCCCTCTGTGGGCGTCGTGTTGTTTTGCCCTGGATGAACGTTGTGATCGACATCAGTGCCTTTTCGGCGGATTTGCCAGCAGCCAAACAGCTCGGTCACGTCGTGCGTTACGTATACGGCGAGATCGCCCCGGGTTGACCTTCGTTGATCTAAATGTGGAGGAGACGGCGGAAAAAATGCACTCCGTTCCTTTGCTCCGAGCAAGTTAACTCCCTTCTTCACGTGGAGACCTTAAATCGTTCTGCTTCTGCCACGTCAGGGTCAAATACACAGGACACTTGAGACGCAAGACAAACGTCGCCACATATTTCACCACGACGTGCATCTCGCTCGTGGGCTTTCGGTTTGCGACCGAATTAATGCAGATTGAAATGAGCCGAAGAAGCGTCTCAGCTCAGCGTGTTAAGGCCGACCCTTTGGGTGGTGGTGGGGCGTCGATGCCAGCTGACTACGTCCTTCACGGAGTCTCACGGTCCCGTTCTCACAGCACAATGCGGCCGTTATTAACAGGAAGAATGTTTACGAGAGAACGGAGCAGATTGAAGAGCTTTCGTGGGAAGAAATGGGTAAATATGAGCGCTTGCACAAGCACGCAGAGGCTTGTGGCAAAGACTCCTGTAGAAGTGGAAGTACCGACTCGAGCTTTTTACTTTAAGTAAAAGTACAAAGCTACTTAACGCCTGTTTATAACGATGGGAAACAAGCTGTCAGCGGTCGGTTATCAGAACAAATAAACCAGAATGTTCAGGCTTCACGAGCAAACACAGAATCCCTTTGTGTTCATCTGCAACGCCGCATTCATTAAGACACACGTCGCTTTATTTAATACGCTGCCTGCAGGTCGCTGCGTCGTGCCGGACTCCCGATAAGACATTTAGGCCATGAAGACGCTCATCTAACGTTACGTGGACTCTGCGTGAGGAGGAGGAGGAGGAGGAGGAGGAGGAGGAGGAAGAGGAGGCTCGGCGTCGCTAAATACCAACTTTTACCAATCTTTTAAAATGTAAGGAGCAGAAAGTAAAAAGTCGCCTGAAAAATAAATACTCCAGTAAAGTATAGATACCCCAAAATGTCTACTTAAGCACAGTAACGAAGTATTTGTACAACAAAGTTGTGGCGGAAAATACGGGTCGAGTCGAGTGTTTCCCATCGGCGCATTTTCTCACTGTACTGCTGCAACACTGTGTCCGTTACTCCGTCACGTGACTCCCCCTGTCACGTGACGCCTGTGCCCGGCTGCACGTGGGTTCCACGGCGTGTGTGTTGGTGGGAGTGAGAGGGCGCCACAGAAAGGAAACGGTTCTCGTTCAATAACGCACATGATGAGAGGCCAAACAACACGTCATCTGCTGCGTGTAAACATGTTGATGCGGAAAGACTTTTTACGAGATCACCGCGTGTTTTGAGTTTTGTGACGTAATACAAATGTCTGTTGTTTATTAATATCTAGTATTAAAAAGAACGGAGAGTACAACCCCATCGCCCCCACTATCATGTACAGTAATCCGGTGTACGGTAAAATACTGTAATCATTTAGTGATGACATTGTTTATAGTGCGCGTTATTGTGCACAAATCATGTATGTTTGAATATTTGAACCGCTAGAAATGATCCACAGTCAGTGATCACTTGACACACGCTTCACTATTACAACCACACGATATAAATTAAATGTAAGGTTTAAAGTTTTTAACGTCATAGTTTTGGGTCGCTTTATAAGCGAGCCCCGGCCCCCCTCCATCCCCTCCACCCCCTCCACCCGGCCTTTATAAGCGAGCCCCGGCCCCCCTCCACCCCCTCCACCCGGGCCTTTATAAGCGAGCCCCGGCCTCCCGCCCTCCCTCCCTCCCCGCGCAGCATTCAGCTCGCAGGAGCCGCTGGCCACGTCTCCGGACCCGGTGCCAGTACCCGAGCGGCGACGCGCGTCCACGGGGCACCGACGGCCGACGGTAAACGGTAAGTGAGGGGTGGGGGGTGAGGGGGGTGAGGGGTAACCAAACGAAGGTTGCGAAAGCCGCCCCGCTTTCCTCTTCTCTTCGGCCGGGACTTTTTGTTTTCGTCGCCTGTGGCGATTCGCGCGAGACAGAGACAGCGTCCCCGTCCTGCGGGACCTTCGGCCGCCAAAATGCGCCCGTTAAGAGCGAGAGACGCGCGTAAAAAGCGCCCGTTGATCCAGATGTGACCCGCCGGACGCGGAGGTGGAGCCGTTTTCCTCTGCTGCGCGTTGCACCAGCAGCCTGTGACCTCGTTACGGCCCCGACCTTCTCTGCAATGACCGACGACCACCCAACTGAAGCCGTCCGAGCCCGAAGCGTCGGAGAGGCCGAAAGTCCGCCGGCCGTCCGAGGCCGTTGTTTTGGGAGAAGACTGCCTGCCTGTAGAAGTTTGTTTATCCTCTAAACACGCGACTCTCTGCAGCTGTGCGACGTTTGGACAGCTGAGCCCCAGCAGCTTTCCTGCTTTGGTCCTCTTCAGATTCACGCAGGACAACAAAAGCAGCAGTGTGTTGTGTAACGTTTCGCACCGATAACGAAAAATGAACCATTTCCTTGATTATCTGATTTAAAATGGCGAAAAAAACCACCAGTTTCCCCCCAAAGGACGGAGGCATCCTGTATCTCCAACCAACGAATTTTATTTATAGGGCACTTCTAAAGGGCTTTAAAGGATCCAAATAACCCGCATACGAGCAAAAGTAACACAACAAACAAGCAAAAAGAGTAAAAAGGCAAAGAAATAAAAGATCCAATGCAGGTGACTTTACTCGGCCAAAGGCCACGGCGAACAAGTGGGCGAAACTGTAGCCTCAACCACTGCGTTGCTGTATCAGAGAGCCTAAGACTGGATGTGGTCTGGGTTCTGTCGGTACCACCTCGGGTTCAGCCAGCCTGCCGCGGGCCGCTCGGCCAGTGCGTCATGATGATGAAGAAGGAACTACTGGTTGACCCCGGGGCGACCCCTGAGGTAGCGGGAAGAGATGTGCTCGTATCGAAGTTCCCTCAGTAAATATTAGACATTAAACGTACGTCTATGGCCTCGCAGTCACTCCACACACTTTGGTTACTGATTAATTGAGGACAGACATCTGAGACAGACAATTGAGACAACATCAGTTATTCGACAGCTAAGGAGTTAGTCATTCAAGAATTTTATTGGCGCAATATGCAGAATATGGGTTACAAGGGTGAACCAGTCTCCCAAGTTCCGTGAATCGGAACCAATTCACGACGTATTTGGAGATAATATCAGATTACAGCTTTATCGTCACATTACAAAAATGTATTTTAAGAAAATACATGAAAGGGAATTGCACATGTGATTGATTGAAAAAAAGCAACGGAGTGGCCGAGCGAGGGAGACGGATCTGCTTGGGGTGATGTCTGGTGTTTACCTCCGTGTCCGTGAGGAACTCTTGTCGGAGCTTCTTCAATGAGCACAACAGATTATGGAACGCGGGGGATCTGGGTCTCCCCCTGGAAACGCCAAAGGACCGTCCCAAACTCTCGTGTCTTGTCGTTGGATTTATTCTGAGGCTAAGCGGGGCGTCCCGGCCGTTGATCCAACCCTAAAAAAGGTTTCCCCCTCCCACGATGGGCTTGGAGCTCTTTCAGGCTTTCCCCCGCTCTGATGCTCTTAAGAGGATGTTATCACCTGGCACCGGAGTTTAGGGTCTCTGGTCAATGATAGATTAGCAAGCCCCCTTTTTTTTAAAATACGCTCGGTCTTTCTGTAGCTTTTAACGTTGGAAACCAACAGGAGGTATCTCACTCGTGTCCACGGCTCGGGGGGCCGGTGGGCCCAGGGACGTCCCATAAACTGGTTTGATGGTTCCTGCTGAAGATGGGAATTGGCGTCACGCTGCCTTCTGGAACGGTTCGTCGGAAAAACTTAACACTGTTTTCTCACAGCCTATTGGTTTAATTAACGAATAAGACAGAAGTGCTAACAAACGTCTTTTTTATGGGGCCATCGGGGATTCGGCGTGTTGGATACGGCTGCAGCATCGCACCAACAGGGGGTGACGGTGTTTGTGAGATCCCCAGATTGTTGCTGGCTGATAAATGAACCACACCCGGAAGCAGCGCTGATGAAAACGTTCCGTTGCAACTGGTGCGACGTTTCCTAAAAAAAGATAAAACAAACAAAAAAATGTTACGTCATGTTTAATGAAGAGAGAGATGCAGGCAGAGAATTTAAAGGCAGTTTTACTGTTGTTTACTCTACAAATTAGTTCAGTAGTTTTGTTTAAAACAATAGTACCGGTCGGTATATTATTAGTGTAATGCTGCTTATGCTTCAACTGTAAAAGAAAACTGTGTGTGTGTGTTGTCGGCTTTATGTACGTCACTCTCGGTTATTACGCACAACATTGTTTATCTCATTTGCAAAATTGGCAGCGTAAGAAAAGAGAGACTCCTAAAGGACAGGTAATATATCCTACTGTCTTTTTATATTTATTCATTTTATTATTAATATTTTTATTTCCCTGAGCCATTTTTGAGCACCCGCCCCCCCCAAATGTTACACAGCAGGAGTGCACATCGCACACCGACTCAAAACGCTGGTTCAGCCTCTCGGCCCGAGATCAGATGACACGGGGGAGTCCTTCACGTTGGATGCTGAGACACTGTTTCCTTTGTCCCATCATTTGAGATTATGTGTGTAGGAAGGCTCAGGTAGTACTTCCGTATATTACCCGTGCAGGGCGACCCCCCCCCCACCACCACCACGTAGGCCCACTTTCATCACATCCATTCCATGTTATCGCTCTGATAGACATTATAGGTACACTATGTTGTATGTATTATACACTATGTCCCTGACAAATACACACTAATAAGATTTAAGCGATGAATTAGAAAGCACAGACCTCTGTCAAACCAGAATTTGAAATACTTCTAAATAAAATGTAGGCATACGTGTAGGCTATGAGTGCAAAAGTGCAATATAAAACAAAGTCAACAATGGATGTACTGTGGTATAGTTGTACTTTAGACCGTACAAATGAACAAGCCTAGCCTTGTCAATGGTGTCACTGGAAAACATCCGACTTGAAACCTCGCGGTTGATACTCAAAAGTGAGACGCTCTTGGCTCATTGTTGACCAAAAGGTACGTTATAGTTAACTTCAATTTTAAAAAGCGTCTCTCTGCAGAAGCTACCGTTACAGGTAGCAGCATTTCTGAGGGCCGCCCACATGTTTGGCAACGTTTCTCTTAATTTCTCCTCATACAAAGAAAGTTAGCAGTTCCTGAGTGGTCGTGGTGGCTTTTGGCAAATCGGGGAAATTTTGCATTTCCTTCGCCAGTTCCCTCCCGTCCGGGTCCGACCGCCCACCACAGCTCAGGGTTTGACTGAGTGCTTCACACTCACTTTGTGAGATTAGTGAAGTTCGCCAGCACTCCAAACGTTTTTACGTTTGATTCGAATCGCGGTTCACGATTGCCGATTCGATTCATGGACGATCTGGGTTCATTTAGAACCATTTGATTCGATTCGATTCAGAGACTTGAAATTGATTCAAGTTTCTGAGATCCCTGTTGTTTCTTGTAAGGTTTAAATTAATGATGGATATTATAAACAAGCAAACAACAATTAATGGCAAATGTATTAACCTTTTATTTGAATCAAGTGCCATTTTCCATGTAAACATTACACAATAATTACTCAATGTTTGGATCAATTCACAGAACCCCGGATGTTCAACCACATCGTAGGGTCGCTGGTCTTTACAGCTAAACAATTGTTACTGTGTTGAGTTTGGTGCTGGAGGCCTGAGGCGTCTGCAGAGCTGAGTTACCTGCTGCTGCTGCAGCGGTGACGCTGCTGGAGGTCCTGACTGTCGGCGTTGTTTAATCCCACGGCGCCTTAGTAGACGGCCGGAAAGATTCGTCGTGTTTCCGTGGTTTTTTATTTGTCTTCTACATATTCTACAAACAGCGAGCGACTTATTTAGAACACCTCCGTGTTTGCAAAAGCCCAAATGTTTCCACTGGATCGATAAGTTGGTTTGTAAACGTCTCGCTCGCAGTCGTCTCCTCAACGCTGTGTTTAGTTGTTGTTGAGTTTCGCGCGGCGGCCGCTGCGTACCGATGACGTCACAGACAGGCAGACTGAATCAGTAACGTTTAACGCGTCTACACACTATACGCGCTCTTAACGGACCCTCTTTGCGCTTTCTCTTTGGGAAGGTACCATTTCATAAAGAGGGGGGCGGGATCAAAATATTATAAATATTGAGAATACTATTAACTAAGAGTCAAGGTTGGAAATGTCTTATGTTAGTATATTTAAAAATAAACCTTCCCCCACAGCTTATTTACATAGTTATGGTCGACAGGGTCCATTTTTTTTTTTGTGTGGCGTGAGTGCGTGTGAAAACATGCAAAAGCGTGGGTCACGTGGCGGACCGATGAAAGCTGGCGGCTCTGCTGATTTCAGGTTGCTCTGTGGTATTGACGAATGCACAAAGCACTTTTGTACTTGTCAGTGGTGATCAAACAGCCGTATAATTATGGCAATTCTTATTTCAAGCATTAACCTGCTCAGAACCAGAATTAAAATCGCATTAACAAGTTTTAATACCTTATTAAGATAATTAAGGAATGCAACACTTGAAACAAGGGAAATGCTCCACCATTAAAACTACCTGGTAAGAAGAAATATCTTGTCGGACTAAAAGCAAGTTATATTGCCCTGATTTTAGATATTTTATCTTACTTAGATTTTAATGTTTGCAGTGTTGAACCTCAAATGTATGTTTTCCATTGTTAAGTGGGCTGTTTTGGGCTTTCCGTGTTTAGGGACCCGGTTAATCAGGGTATTCCAGGGGGACCTCATCCTTTCCAAAACGCCTGTCTCCAACAACCTTTCGATTGTTTTTGCTATCCCTACAGTTTGTTCTTCCCTTAAGGGGTACTGAGGACGGTAAATTGGGACCGGGCCAGGACCACTGGGACTACTGGAATCAATCACACATCAGCTGCCCCTTTTGTCCAAAATTTGGCAAGAAAATCTAGCATGAGTTGTGTGTTCTCATGGTCAGTGTTTTCTCTACCATGTGTGCGGCTTATGTGTTTCTCTGGTATGAGTTTTACTTCAAATGTGTGTGCAATACGGTACATATCATTGGCTTGAGAGTAATGTAGGTTAACACTTTGGGTGGGAACCCAGTCCGTGGCGTCAACCCCTGTCTTAATCATTGGCCTCATGTTCTTAGGTTCTCCTCCGCTTTGAATGAGCAAGGTGATGTGAGGAGCCGATGCCTCTTGTAGCGCATATATAACTTGTAAACCAGAGGTTAGTTCCTTGACCGTGGCTGCTACACCTTGTTTCCCCACATAGATCTCGCAGACTTTAACCGTTGGATGTCCATTCAAACTCCAGTCCATCCCACAGTTCTCATCAGGAGACAGCGAATAGTTCATCGTGCGATGTAAAGGATCCACCGGTGGTTCGGTCGGGTGTAATACCTTGAACCACGAGCCCCAACAGTGATCAGTCTCATGTAGATCAGTTTGATCATAGTCTTCCACTCTCCCCCACCAGACCTCTGCCTCGTTACTCAGTGTTTGTTGGAGCTTGCAGCAACTGGTGCCTCTAAGAGTGGAGCGTGGATAGAAAGTGGCCACGATTGACCCAAAAATCCAATAACTGGCACAGTATTCCTTGATTGTGGCAGTGTTGTGTATATTGTGGAATAACATTTGACATTTGTAATCTCTTCCATTGATTTTCAGAGTAACCATGGGTTCTGGAAACAGGTTACCATCGGGCATTTGTAGACATCATGAGGTGGGTTGGCCTGAGTCCTCTGGCCCTTAGGTGATCGGGGGCATGCGTTTGACCAAAGTACAGGCTGCCCACAGTTGAAACAGTTGTTATTGTGTTGTCTAAACTGCCCCCCATTCATTTTACCTCTGCCTTGGTTGCCCCCCTCCCCACTGTCTTCTTCGCCGTGGAGGAGTGAACGCGGCCTGTGTGTAAGGGAAGGGAGGGGGATCTGGATAAGGTCCACCTGAGATGGCGCTCACTCTTACCCTGGTTCACCTTTTCTCTGCTTTTCCCCAGCCGTGTTTTTGCCAATTCTAACTAGACATTGTGTAATTCTGCCATTTATCATATTCTTACGGTACAGATAGTGTTTAATCAGTGCTGACCAAGCATCGAAGTCCATGTCAGATAAACTAAATATATTCCTTTGTGGGAGAGTTGGACCTTTACTGTCCCCAAAACAGATGTGTCACGGCTACTGGTACCGGTGCAGGACGGGACCCAAAAGCATGACTCAGACCAAGATGGGAGGAACTAGTAGGTTTTAATCAATCGGGCAGACAAGGTCAAAACCGGGAGATCTGTCAGAGGGGCAAACAAGTCTGAGAGGGGCAGGCAGGGAATCCGTAGACGGGAACCGGCAGAGGTCAGAACCAGGGTGACAATCAGGAAGGCAAACAAATCCGAAAGGGGGCAGGCAGGGTCAAAACAGAGGTAGACCGGGGTAACTTGGAAAACTCTGCAAAACACACGAGACAATCTGGCAGGGAACAAACGAATGTGACGGGCTTAAATAGTGAGTGGCTGATGAGGGGATGTGCTTCAGGTGAGGGCAAGGAGAACCAGGTGAGGGCAATGAGCTGATGATGTGGGAGGATCTGAAATGACAGGGGAGTTAGATAACATGCAGTGAAGATTAAATTAAACATGCAGTGAAGATGAAAATAAACTATGATGTGGTCTATTGTGTGACAAGATGACTCTATAGCGCCGAGCTTCACCTTCTCGGGATATTGAAGTCTGAGCTTTGGCCAGAGCTTAGCAACCCAATTATTTTCCATTATTATTTTTCACACGCACTCACGCCACACATGCAATTTTTTACGCAAAACGAGCCCATTGCCTTGCAACGCACGCAACCATAAGGTCCGCTGTGCGGGATTGTCGTGCCCCCCCCCCAAACACATATGAAATGGAATTTCAACATCTGGCCCGGGCGTCATGTTTACTTGTTTTAATGATGGTATTTTTTCACCAGGGTTTTATTTAATTTAATTTTGTTTATCAATGTTGTTGATAGAGGGCGCCCCCCACAAATTTGATGCCCTAGGCGGTCGCCTTGGTCGCCTCTAGGAAGGGCCCGCCCTGTACCCGTGGGTTCTCATGATGCAAGAAAAATCCCTTTTTCCTATTCATATCCTTTTCTCTCTCTCTCTCTCCCTCTCCCTTTACCCTCAGGCCAGGGTTCTGCTTCAGAAGCTCAGCTCCACCAAGGACGGTAAAGAGAAAGACCTACATTGAGTCCCGAACACAGGCAGTGATCCTCAGCCATCATGCTGCGCTGCAGAGTGAACCTCAGCACCATGATCTTCCTGGTCATCCTTCAGGGGGCAGCGGTGGTCCTATTCTGCGGCTGGTATGTCCAGCTCAGTCCCTGCGGCTCTGCTCCCCCCAACGACAAAGTTCACGTTCTGCTGTTGTCCTCGTGGCGATCAGGCTCCTCCTTTGTGGGTCAGGTGTTCAGCCAGCACCCATCTGTCTTCTATCTGATGGAGCCGGCATGGCATGTGTGGACCAATATCCAGAAACACGGTGCGCGGGTTCTCCGAATGGCAGTAAGGGATCTGTTGCGAAGCGTATTTCAGTGTGACTTTTCCGCGATGGAGGCCTACCTGTCAGAGAAGCACCAGGTGTCCTCCTTATTTATGTGGAGTCACAGCAGAGCACTATGCTCCCCGCCGGCCTGTCCTCTGACACCACGTGGCCAATTCAGCAACCAGACTCAGTGCTTCAATGCATGTGGTACCCATGGCCTGCAGGGGGCGGAGAAGGCTTGTGGCACCTACAGTCACGTGGTACTGAAAGAAGTGAGATTCTTTGAGCTGGAATCCCTCTACCCGCTCTTGCAGGACCCAAGCCTAAATCTCCACATCATCCACCTGGTCCGAGACCCTCGGGCTGTAATGCGCTCCAGAGACGAGTTAGCCAAAGCCTTCAATAGTGATAGCGCCATCGTCTTGGAGCAGAAAAACATACCAGCGGCAGAGGTGCAGTACCAAGTCATGCAGGAGATCTGCCGAAGCCACATCTGCATTAATGAGAGGGCCATGCTGAAGCCCCCCCCGTTTCTAAAAGGCCGTTACAAGATGATCCGCTATGAGGACGTGGTGCGCAACCCACTTGAGGAGATAACTGCCATGTACGAGTTTGTGGGTCTGGAGACGACCAGCCAGTTGGCGGAATGGATCTACCGAGTGACTCATGGAAAAGGAAGAGGCACCAAGAAAGAGGCCTTTGATATCACCTCGCGGAATGCCGCCGACGTCTCCGAGGCTTGGCGTACCACGCTGCCACACAACAAGGTCAGACGCATCCAGGAGGTGTGCAAAGGGGCCATGTCGTTGCTCGGATACAGGACTGTTAACAGCGAAAAAGAGCAGAAGCGACTCGACTTTGATCTACTGGTGCCACAGGAACCTTACCAGTTCAGCTGGCTGCCAGAGAAAACAGACCGTCCAAGTGACGGTTAATTCGAATATCAAACACACCGCCAGACTTTGTTTGACCGACGTCTGTGTGCTTTAAAGCAGGGGTGTCAAGCTAATTCCAGGTTCGGGCCAGATACCGCCCAGCGGATATGAAAGAAGCAGAAGCGACTGCATGCTTCGGCTCCCCGATGAGGACCTGTCTGTAATTCTCACAATAGCAAAGTCATCCGGTAGTTTGATATATGGGCTTTAAAGGGTTTAATTGCGGTATACTTGTGTAATGACCGCTATCTGAGATTAACCAGCAAAATTGTAGGGAGGAGATTTGCATACATTTGGGACTAAACAAAACACTGTACGGTTCCCTTTTTTAACCTGGCATCTGTTTGACTGTCTGTGGGATAAACTTTGCTTCATTTACTTGCATATAGAGTTAATTCATATTTTATCTTAATTCATGGAATAATCATTTTTCCTTAACTAAAAATAAAAAGAATTAGATCAAGATCCACCCACAGGCTCCACCAGCATGTAGCCTATTGCATCAAGTGTGTATTATTTGGTACAATTGTGTGTGCATTCCGACCTCGTGATCATAAAGGCCCACATGAGGGAAATTGTAGGTTATTTTGCATGTATGTATTTCTGCTGGACTATTCAGTAACTTATTTGCTGTTTTTCTTTGTCTTGTGTTGCACTTGCTTGATGTTTGACTGGGTTAGGAAAGTTGTTGTCAGCCAGCCAACTAGCCAACAAAGCTACTGGCCGCCAACTCTCACGGTTTCCCCGTTTGCATGAGAAGCAGAGCGGCTGCACGTAAACTTGCCATTAATGAATCGTGGACGGTGAGACGTTGGAGACGGCAATGTGTACGTCCCCTTGTTCGGGATTCGTAGGTGGAACCGGTAGACAGTTAGGTAGACGTTGTAGTCAAAGGACCTGCTGTGAAGATGGACAACTGACCAACATCAGGAAGAAAGTTTGTTTTGTACTTTGTTGTTAGGTATAGAAAAGATTTCTATTGGCCCTAAACTAGCGTGGCCGGCCGCAACACAAGATCCAATCACTGTGAAAGGGAAGAGCCTTTTCCCCAAATTGACTGACAAGTGGGGTAGTTCATTCCTTGTTTGGGACAGGGCACAGAATATATATGTAACCGCCTAAATGTGCACATTAATGTCAGCACTTGATTATATAATTGTTCCACATGACATGACAACAGTGTTGACGTTATATAAGAATGTATGTGAATTATTATCATAACTGTGTAGGATACAGCATGTTCAGATAGACCTGTCAGAACCCCCAGCCAGTTGGTTTCTCCCAATTAGCCCAATTGACTGGAAGGCTGTATAAAGAGGGGAAAGGGAAACGCCAGGAGGGTTTGCAGTGAAGGCACCTGCAGAGAGGTTGAGGTTGTTGGGTTCCTTTTGTTTATTTATGTCCATTAGAAGTGTTCGTTTTTTCTGTTTTCCTGAAGACCACCAAGATAATAAAGCGGAATGGTTAATAACATCCCAGAGCGCTGAGTTTTCTTGCCTGCACCTCATCCCAACGCAAACCTCAGTGAGTCCTTGACGCCTGTGTAGTCGTTGGCCTCAAAGGCGCCACGTCACAATCACATACAGCGATGACATTACAATAATGTAAACATAACAAACAAAGCGTGAGTGTCGTGTGGTGCTTGCCGTGTCTCCAACTCTCAACCTTATCAGACCTGTGTCTCAACTCCGGCAAGGACGACGACTGCGTCAGCAGACGTTTTTTCTGCTAGCTAGCGGCTAAACCAGCAAGTCAATTTTTCCAAATCGTGTCAAACATCAACAGTACAAGACAAAACAAAGCAGACGTCCTCTTTTACCCGGACCTTTTCTTTTTTCGAGACCTAAAAAAATGCATCCGCGTAAAAGAGGACGCCTGGTCACCCGAGCTAAACTAGGCTAAGCTATTCGTGTTAGGGTGAGCTTGAGGGCGTTCGTGTTTATAGTCACATTTGCTAACCTGTCGTTCTTTGAACTCTCTGAAAAGTTTGCGGTGTCTGTCTGATGAAGGCGCTTGGCCATATTTGAAGTGTTCACTTCCTTTTTGAAGCAGGTTTTACAGACTGGTCTGTGTGTCTCGATGGATGCTTTCCATCGCAGTCTACATGAGGACACGTCTCCCCCGATAACTCACCGCGAGTGACGGCTGCACAGTCAATGCGTGCAGGCAGCCTGACAGGGAGCGGAACAGTGAGTAATGAAGTACCGGTAGGCTACTAAAAATATTCAAGATCGCATTGTCTTCAACGTAAGGGTACCGCGGTACCTTTCTAGTACCGGTACAGCATGCAACATTAGTCCCAGACAAGTCTTAATGTCGCGTTGTTTTCAACGCAAGGGTACCGCGGTACCCATCCATCCATCCATTGTCAAACCGCTTATCCTGCACACGGGGTCGCGGGGGGGGCTGGAGTCCATCCCAGCCAACTTCGGGCGATAGACAGGGTACATCCTGGACTGGTCGCCAGCCAATCGCAGGGCTACACAGAGACACACAACCATTCACACTCACATTCACACATCTACGGGCAAGTCCCCAATCAACCTGATCCTCTGAGCACGTCTTTGGACTGTGGGAGGAAGCCGGAGAACCCGGAGAGAACCCACGCAGACACGGCTAATGGCCCCAGATCAGCAGAAGGTATCGTGGCTGACTCGAGGGACTAAAACAAAGGGACTTTATTTTCTTAGTTACAACCTTAGGTATCCCTGGCTTTTTCAGGGTCAGCGCATTTTCAGCAGGAAAGGCTCTTCGCAGCTGCTGCCATTTGCTGTCAGTTCAGTCCCTTTGAATCCAGATCGTTTGAAGCTGGGCGTCATGCCGGCGTCCCCCGAAGGCCCCATCGGCCCTTCCAGGGGACTTTTGATCCCCAATGACGCTCCCACAGAGTTTGTAGTATGTAGTGGATCGACATCTGTCAGGAAGCTCCCTTAGGTTGTCAGCGCGCCGCTTAGCTCGATGTAGTGAATTTTAATCTGCAAGATTCACTCAAATACTTTCAAAGGGTGCAACAACCTTTCCCCCCCCAGGTTCATTTCAGGTGTGTGTTTGGCCATCGAAATCATTTATGACTTTACTCCTTCAACCTTCTAATTTCAATGTTTATTTATTATTAATTATTAATAACTTGTTTCAGGAGAGTACCTCAGAACAATGCTTGGGGAAGACCCGACCCGTGTTCCTGTGAGCAGTTAGTAAAAGCGCAAACACAGCAGGACAGTCAACAAGGCAAATTATTCTGCGCTTTTGGAATGAAGCCATTAATCACGTTGAACATGTAGGGTTATGTTGAGCCAACACAGAGGCCCGCAGTCCTAAGAAGGGCAATTCTATTGATCCTTTCAACTTTGACAACTTTGCTCCGATAGTCTTCCTGAGACGTATGAACGTAAGCATAAGAACACATGGAACTAAGTGCTTTGATGGTACATTGTGTGTTCTCAGTGTGTGTGTTTGTGTGTACAGAGATGTACACACAATGTGGAGAGCGGAACTGAGCAATACAGTGTTGGTCAGATAGAAATGATCCGGAACTCGGATGTTTTACTCACAGATTCTGCTACTGACTGGACTTGGATGAACTGAGGTTGTGCACAGCGATGCTTCGACCTCCGGCAGACGTTTGCATGTGAATGTGCGCTGACCTGCATGGGGTGTTTCTTCTCTGGAGGATGAATGAAATGTTTTGGGAGGAAAAGGAGCCGTGGCTGAACAGATCATATGTTGACCTGTAAAACCTATGAAACCGTCTACTGGTGTGTTTGGTGTTCAAGCAGAAACTTAACGGTACTAACGGATGCAATAAACATTTACATGGAGCCCGTGTTTGTGTCTGTTCACTGAGAGACACGGAAGCAGGTTTTCTCCACGAATAGCAGATGACGGCAGCAAACAAGACGTTGTGGCGCCATCTGTCTGCTGGTAGGAACATCTCCACGGAACACACAAATATACACACATGTACAGCATGTCGGCGCTGATAGGAAAAACTAAAAGAGCAATAGTTAGGAATCAATCATTTTTACTAACCGCACTCATCACAAGGTTTTCTGAAGTAAGACGATCCTCCAAAACATAATTCAATGGCAATCCTGCCACAGCATCCGCATACATTTGTATTTATACTTAAAACATATTGTACATAGATCAACATTTACAAAGACCGAGAGCTAGATGCCTTTTGAACAACCAATTGAGCTTAATGCTCAAATATTTACTGTGTGTAAATAAATGCATGAGGTGCTGTAGATTATGACACTAAAGTATTTGTGAATTCAGGCAAATGAATTCTGTCCCAGTCAAAGCTAAAATTAAGATGGAATGAAAAAAGGTATCTTTCTCATGTGGAAGGTGGGTGCAGGTGTTATACCAGTTCCCTCGTTGTGTTACTGCCCCCCCCTCAAAGGGAACTGTCTGTCCAAACATCGCCTCGCTACGAAACTGAAAAGACAACAACGTGGTAGGAGAGCACCGACTTCTGAACATTTTCTATTTACAGGTTTGTCACAAAAACTCCCGTTGTTCCTGCTGGCAATGAAGCTCCTGGGGAAGCTTGGTGGAGAACCGAGGACTTGCCCCCTTAATCTTATTGTTGTTTTTTCAAAAATATACATAACATGGGGCAAAGCTGCTTAGCAAAACCCTGTAACAGTTCTTCTAGTTCTACAAGATGTCTTTAGAAAACCAATTGAAAATTCCATGAAAAATATTAAATTGAATGCATTTTGCATAGCCTAAAATCCCAAACACCAAATAGAGGATCCCACGGGAAGGTGATTTGTACAGAACAACATGCATTCTGCATTATGCATCAAATCAAGAGCAGGTTCGCCTCCTAATGGCTCGGTTAGAAGCCATAAAGCTTTTTGGAGGCAAAGTCCGGATTTAAATCTGATTGAGATGATGTGGCATGAAGCTCAAACCATCCTTTAGAATTACAGCGATTCTGCAAAGCAGAGTGGGCCAGGAGGAGGAGGGGGGGGGGGCACGACCAGCTATTAGGGTTGAGGGGCAATTACCTTTTCATGGAATCATCATTAAAAAAAAATGCGTTTTGTCTTTGTTATCTTTGCTTTAATAATCAGAAACATTGTGTGACGAATGTGATAAAAAGTTTAAAAAAAAAACAGGAACGCTCCAAATACCTTTTAACGCACTGTATATATTACATATTATATATTGTATATATTCCCTACATTCCCTCCCCTCCTCGCCTCCTCCCCTCCTCGCCTCCTCGCCTCCTCTCGGATAACAGCAGGTGGGTAATGCGACACGCAGGAGGATGGCATCTACCCTGACTGACATTTTCCCGCAGATCCAATCGGTTTCCTCAGCTGCTGATCCGGCAACAAGCTAATTTAAAGTCCGTCAGAATTACCTAGGATTCAATCGGAAGCTTATTAGTTGAACTTTCAAAATAAAAGCAATTCGGGTGAAAAGAAACTGAATAAATCTACTCCACAATCCACTTGCGAGTATAACCAGAGCTTGATGTAGTGAATTCAATTCAATTCACGACCACAAAACGTATTTTTTTAAAGACCAGTCTTTTACCAACACAAAATAGTCAAATATAAAACAGGGCTGAAGCTGCCGGGCCTCCCATCATCAGACATTCCATCTGAAATTGGCACTCACACTTGCCAGCGATGAGGTCTACTGACCTCGAGTCCTTCGAGAGGGATTCTGAGATTCAAAGGGACAGTTTTTGCTTTATAATCCAAGATGGGAAATTGGCAACCACCCCTCTGGAGAAGAGTGGAGATCGCCAAAGACCGAATAAAGCTCCTGGAGAGTCATCAGGGGTCCACGGCTCAAACCAACAACAGCCAAGAGACGCAGTCCGAGAACTTCCACCTGCTGGAGTGTCTGAGACTACAGGAGGAAAAGATGGCTGAAGCCCGGCTCATCAGTCACGAGGAGAAGGAGAGGATGGTTCGTGAGGCCAAACTTTCAGACCAAAAGATCCAGAACCTTAAGCTCATCAAGGAGAACGAGGGTGTGTCTTCACCGAGTCCACGGAACCCCTCGTCAGTAATGACAGCTGGCAACAAAACTACAAGGACCTGGAGAAAAAGACCACCGAAGACCTCGCCCTAAAACAAGAGAGCCCGGAAGCCCTTCAGGTAAAGTACCAGATGATGTCCACCAAGGTTGAGACTCTGATTCGCCAGAAGATCAGTGGGACCCTGAAAGTCAACAAAGAGAAGGAAAGCATTTCACAGAAGCTGAGAGAAACAGCGAGGAAGAGAAATACAAAGATCTGGAGAGAAGAACCTTCAAAGGACTGGACCAACAATAACAGATCTTGAAGACCAGAGTAACAGCATCGTACTCTGACAACGTTGCTGTAGACGAGGAGTTGAACAAGCAGCGGGCCAACAACCACCAGCGGAGGACAACTACCTGATAGTCAGAACACTCCAACAGATGGAGGATGAGAAGACCAACGGAAATCCCATAGTGATCTCAAAGATCAAACAGTTGCCGGACAAAAACACAGACCTTGAAAACATCTGTCTGGACTTGAAGAAGAAGAGGGACATCTTTGGAAGAAGGATGCAAGACAGACAGAAAGAAGACAAGAAGACCCTCAACGACGCCGACATGCTGCTTCTTCATCGGAGGCTTAACACCAGCAGGAACACCTTCCTTTATCTCCCACTGCGTTCTCACATATGCAAATAAATATACACATACATAGACATATAGATACATAACACTCTGCTTGTAACGACTTTTAAAATAAGTCCTACCTTTTTTTTGTCTCATTTTGACATTTTATTTTGAAAATCCTGAGCAGGAACTGCTGCGTCCACCTCCGCGGGTCCGGCGCCGTCGCGGTAACGCGGTTCCGCTGCCGCAGTCAGAGGAGCGGCAGACGCGGCGAGGACCGCAGAGGAAGACCGCGCCGGACAGCAGTCGGTGGACGACACAAATGGCCCCGGTGTCCACGGGGTGAAGAATGGGCCCCACGCCGTCGCGGCCATGGCCAGATCCACCGACAGAAGCGCCGGTGACGCGGGCCCGCGTGGGACGACGCCCACCGCACGCGGGGAGGCGGCGCGCGACCCGTCCGAGCCCCGGGAACTGTCCCTGGAAGAGGTGCTGAAGTCCTACGAGCAGCCCATCAACGAGGAGCAGGCGTGGGCGGTGTGCTACCAGTGCTGCGGCGGGGCGAGGGGGGGCCCCCGCCCGCCCGCCGGGGGAGTCGTCCGGGCGGAGGACCCGTCCTCCGTCCTCCTGCAGAGGGACGGAACCGTGTCGCTGCGGCGGCGCGACGGTAGGATCGGTCGCTTAACTTCGCTCTTCGCCAGAACCCAACTAGGAAAAAGTGCTTTTTCTAGCGACATCGGTCCAAATATCGAGAGCGTCTTTTCGACGGCGTTGTGTCCCCGAATCGGTCAAAACGCGAAGCGCCTGGTTCCAGTGGTGCGGCATCTGGTGACCCGGCGTGTACCGCGCACCGCGGCCAACGACGTGCCACTACGTTGACCACACCGGTGCCGAATGCAACCGCGTTCACCGGGGATTGGTGAACTCTATTTAGTCCCGTGCTTGCCCCTCGGCAACTTTGCGCGAACAGCAACGCCACCGAAATGAGCCGAGTTCCACAGGGAGATCTGCACGGGGCGGGACGGACCTATTGGGTCCCGGGGTAATGGACGCTGCTGAGCCGACACCGCCGTCGCGTCGCCCCCTTGATGCCAGTAAGGATGACTTGTACACTGATGGAGATCAGCATCAGGATGGAAGGCTCGAGGTTTTTTTTTACTCCTCCTGAGTATTAAATAGATCAGTGAGAAAGATCGAGAGGCTCCGGCAGGCTGGTCTTCTACTCAGTGGGACTATGGACACTTTAAAGTGTTCACTGGTAAAAAGTTCTATGTCTCTTTTGTCATTTTGAGTCTCTATTATCTAAGTCCCCTTTGTTGTTGCAGTTGCATTGACCTCAAAGTTGTTATAGTCACTGTGTAGTGACTTTTGTAGTCTTTTTGTGTCACTTTGTGCTCATTTTGAGTCTCTTCCTCGTTGCTACATATCTCTTTGAGTGACATGCTGTAGGTGAAGGCCACAGGGGGGCCCCTGGAAAAGTCTGCCGGCCAGAGGACCCTTTGCAGGGCAGAAGGGGCCAGATTCATCCCAAATATCACCCTATTCCAGTTTAAGGCCGGCGGGCTGGAGAGGAAACCACTAGTATGGAGCCACGTGAAGGCGTGCCACGTTAGATTCCACATTTACTATAAACTATATTCACCTCAAGCACCGGTTTTATAACCTTGAGACACCTGCAAGAGTACATAGTATATAGAACAACAACTTAAATAGCGTCCCCGGTGTTGAAAGCGTAACTGGGTACACAGAAGGTCTCCCTCAATGATATCGTGGCTATTGTTGGCACTCCCAACCAACCAAGCCAGCGCCACGTGCACGGGCAGAGTGCACGTAGGGAGCGGCTACCATGCTGCAGTACTCTTCACTTTTATTCTTTCTGTTGACGCTAGTACCCAGGAGATGATGTAATCGATAACATTTTAGTGAACCGTAAACCGTTCAGTTCAGATAACGGCGCGTCTCTCTTACTCTGCTTCAACAAATGTGCACACGGCTTCTGCTTTTAATGGCGAAGTCGGGTGAAAAGGTACTGCGGTTTGAAACGTAATACTTGTGTAGTTCCGTCCCCCCTTTCCTTTTAAAAAGCTAAAGTGAGTGTGGATGACTGACAGCAGGCCCTTAGTGGGCCTAATGGACATCGGATTGTCCCTCGTAAAAAAAAAAATGCCTCACTGCAGATGCAACGTGTATTCTAAATATATTCCAGCCGATGTGTCCTCTATCTGTCCTTCCGACAGCTCCCTGCTTCACACGTGGTGAGGTGATCTAACACAAAGTCAAAGTCCAGATAGAGACGCGGAGCCTTAAGACCAGCCAGCTAACTGGTTCCCTTCCCTTTTCTATGTGGTGTCATTAGGATGCTAATGTCGCTAACACCCGTTCCCCGTCCACGCCTCCAACTGGCTTATTGTGTTTTCCCCACATCTCGTCTCCTGGGGGACAGATTCCTCGCCCCTGACGGAGTCCTCGGCGCTCCTTCGGTGTCAGTTGCGTTCGCGCGCAGGGGGAAAAAAAGGGGGGTTTTGGGTTTTTTTTGTTTGGGGTTGGAACGGGGGGGGGCCCCCCCCCCCCCCCCCGCCCGCTTGTGAACCGGGAACTTGACATCGTGTCAATATTGTTCAGGCTCCGCAGAGTCTCATGTTCCTCACGCAGCATGCCCGTTTTTAGAATTAAGGTGACATCGCAGATTCGGGCCGGATAGGGCAAGGTAGGCCGGTTTATCCATGTCCAGAAGTATACCAGGTTGTTCCCCCCCCCAAACAATCCCAACCCGGGGGGGGGGGGGGGGGGGTTGAGGGGGTTGTCAGTAGCCAGTCCAGGTCAATCCCGTTAATCTTACACTTGATTAAATCCTCTTTTCTCTACTTTCCGAAACTACGTCTCACTTGTTCTTGTCTGTTTGTCCTCTTCTTCCTCCCCGTTGGGTTGTTGGTTCCCCTTTTTATGCTCTCCTTAATTATTAGAGGTGTAACGGTTCATTTTAACAACGATTCGATTCGAATCGCGATTCACGGTTGCCGATTCGATTCATGGACGATCTGGGTTCATTTAGAACGATTCGATTTGATTCAGTGACTTGAAATCGATTCGGTAACTTTACTGGACAGTGCAGGCAAAGTTTCTGAGATCCCTGTTGTTTCCTGTAAGGAAATCAGGTTTAAATTAATTATGTATATTATAAACAAGCAAACAACAATTAATGGCAAATGTATGAACCTTTTATTTGATCAAGTGCCATTTTCCATGTAAACATTACACAATAATTACACAATGTTTGGATCAATTCACAGAACCCCGGATGTTCAACCACATCGTAGGGTCGCATGTCTTTACAGATAAACTTGTTACTGTGATGTTGAGTTTGGTGCTGGAGGCCTGAGGCGTCTGCAGAGCTGAGTTACCTGCTGCTGCTGCTGCTGCAGCGGTGACGCTGCTCGAGGTCCTGACTGTCGCCGTTGTTTAATCCCACGGCGCCTTAGTAGACGGCCAGAAAGATTCGTCGTGTTTCCGTGGTTTTTTATTTGGCTTCTACATATTCTACAAACAGCGACCGACTTATTTAGAACACCTCCGTGTTTGCAAAAGCCAAAATGTTTCCACTGGATCGATGAGTTGGTTTGTAAATGTCTCGCTCGCAGTCGTCTCCTCCACGCCGTGTTTAGTTGTTGTTCAGAGTTTCGCGCGGCTGCCGCTGCGTACTGATGACGTCACCGACAGGCAGACTGAATCAGTAACGTTTAACGTGTCTAAGTGCTAAAAAACAAACACACAAACACGCATCCATACCGCTTGTGTACTTAAATCCAATGTGCAGTATCCAAGTATCGATTCAATCGATTTGTAATCGATATATGTCGTCTGGAATGCCAATTTGCGGAGCACAGATCGATTCAGTTGGATCGCAGGAATATAAATCGATGAATCGATTCACTGAATGAATCGTTACCCCCCCTATTAATTACTAAACTGTTCCCACCCGCTCCTCATTAGGCAGGAAGTCCATAAAAGACCTCCCCTCTATCACCAACCCCGCTCACCTCTTCCTGTAATCTACCACTATATATATATATATATCATTTTATCTATAGTTATGTTCTGTGCTGTCTACACGTCATGATGAACCTTTCAATGGAATTAAAAAGACCATATTTGTACTTTGTGTAAGATGTGATGTGTCTCAGGCCCTTATTGGTTGTGTGTCTCCTCAGACGACACCGACGGACCTCCTCCTCCACCTCCACCTGCTGCAGAGCGTCAGGTGAGAAAGAACCAAGTCCTTTCCTGTGTGGAGTCTGTGGCTGCGTCTCAAGAGTCGCTAGGCTGCGTCCTCAAGGACGCCTTTGTCGACCGCATACGCCACTTCGGCCGCGGGTCGCCCGTCCCGATCAGTCGGCTCCTCCGAACGCGGGTCGAGGGACGCGGCCCTCCGGGAGAAAGAAGAACTCCTTACATACAAATTAATAAGTGTGTTTGCTGTTGTGGATTTTATTGCCAACATTGATGGAATCTCCTCGCCCTTAAGATTGCAATATAACTTATAACTTACGGTATATACGGCTGCTGAAGGCTGCAGGCTACAAGGATGCAGCCCAGCGACGTTGAGACACGGCTAGAATGTTCTCTCCGGCTCGCTCGCTGAGAGGAGTGACACCGATGCGTCCATCGCCTCTGGGTTTTTTGGGGATAATGAAATAGAAATACCACTGCTTGTATGTGGTTCTCGTGCGTCCCCATTCACCATTATATACCATATACCCTGGTGCATGCTGCACCCTATTTTCATTAAATCAACCTGAGTTGAACGCGTTCCTTCGTTTGGGTCGTCCAAAACCAGTCGTTCCGTGTCAGTTTTACGCCCGCAGGTGTTGGGCTGGATTGAGGCGTTAAAGGGCAGGCTGTTGATGCCCTCGGTGTATCTCCTCCAGCTGGTCCAGTCGCTGGGCGTGGCGATCTACCGCGCCCTGGACTGGGGCTGGATGACAGCGAGGAGCGGGAGCTCAGCCCCCAGCTGGAGCGCCTCATCGAACGCATGGCCGGAGGGGAGCAGGGCGGGGAGCAGGTCCGCGCTGCCGGCAGGCTCACCACGGACGAAGGGTACGGCGGCCAGGACGAGGAGGAGGACGAGGAGGACGAGGAGGAGGAGGAGGAGGGAGCGGTGAGGCCGGTGTCCACCTTCCGCCAGGTGACGGCGCTGTGCGCGTCCCGGCTGGCCGACCCCAGCCTGGCGCCGGAACACTACCAGGCCGTCTGCAGGGCTCTGTTTGTGGAGACGCTGGAGCTGCGGACCTTCCTCACCAAGATCCGGGACGCCAAGGAGGTACGTCGAACCAAGAACCAAGGGCCCTAATTAGAAAATACAACGGCAGTTCAACCTCAACATCAATTCCTGACGAGGTCATCAGATCTAGAACATACATGAAAGAATAGAATCAAACAGAACTCTTTGAGTTCTTGTCTTAAAGACCCGTTTAAAGGAGCAAACCAGAGAGCGCAGCTTGTTGCTTTACTAAAGCAACGTCAAAAACCAAAGAGTTGGCACTCTGAATTGTTGTTTTGAGGATTGAATGAAATGATCGGATAATACAGAGAGGCAGGAATGATGTTCTGACTTTGGTGCCCCCTCCGCCCCCCCAGTGGTACCATCAACCGATTGATGGATGGAAGCCTTTGCAGTGATTTGAAACGTGCTTTTTAAAGCTGCAGAAAAACACTCGTTCATGACATATAAATATACATATATTCTTAACTGATGCTTTTTGATGCACAGATGCTGAAGAAGATTACCAAAGAGGAAGGTGTGGAGGACAAGTCCACGGCCGAGCTGGACGCCCTGAAGCACACAGACTGGGTGAGACGAGAGCAACGAGAGCACAAAGTCACAGCGAGGACGAGGCGACAGCGGTTTGACCCAAGAAGGCGCCGTGTGTGTGTGTGTCTTTGTTGTTGTTGTGTCCGTCCCAGGCGCGTCTCTGGGTGCAGCTGATGAAGGAGCTCAGGCATGGCGTGAAGCTGAAGAAGGTCCAGGAGCAGCCGTTCAACCTGCTGCCCACCGAGTTCAGCTTCACGCCCTTCGAGATGCTGATGCAGGACATTCGCACCCGCAAGTTCCAGCTACGCAAAGTCATGGTGAGAGAGCGGACCCCGTGTAAAGCAACCAACGGAGCACCACCTGTGATACGAGTGTGAAGATATGGAAGCAGTAAACACGTCCATGCCAGGAAGGAGAGAGGACCTTTGGCCTGTAGAGATAACGAAAGTGTGATTGTTTTTTTGTACTCAGGTGGACGGGGACATCCCCACCCGAGTGAAGAGAAACGCCCACGAATTGATACTGGATTTCATCCGGTCAAGACCTCCTCTCAGACCAGTGAGTGCTAACAAATGTGCCGCGGTAGTTCTAGTGTTGGTTAACAACCAAAGCCAAAGGTCGAACACTGGCTTCTACGTATTACGTATGCGGGACGTCATTAAGCCAACGTTAGCTTCCAGGGAACTAGTCTGTTGTGGGATTGGATAGAACTGCGTTGAGGTCCTCTGGTCCTCCTGTCCCTCAGCGTCATGATGCCATTTGCCTTCTTCCGTTGTGTTTTTCCCCTCTCCGTAAGGCCTCGGAGCGCTGCCTCCCCCCTCCGCCCCTGCAGCCGCAGTCCCTTCACGAAAAGGTCCTGGCTGGGATCAAGCAGGAGAGGAAGCTGAGGCCGGTGGTGCCGCCCAGCTCCAGACGTAAGGGGGCGCTTCTTTCAGAACCGGGTTAAGGCCGGTCAGGAACATGTCGGGCAGGAGAAAGCCATTCGGTCACTGACCGTCCAAAACCTCACCGACGACGAGGCTGACCCTCGTGATGCCCAGAGCAACATGATCGTATTCGGTTTTCCTTTAGTAAAGACTCCACAGTCTGAATTTTAAAAAGTCCAGATGCAAATAATTGATGAACACGAATGCATTTGGTCGGTAGAATCGCTCCTGCGCCCACCAGCAGTTAGGGACGGAGGCATGGCAGACTGACCACGGTCCACCTTCCTGTCCCCCCCCCCTCAGCATTCGGCTCTCTGCCCTGCCTGGCTCAGACGTGTCCTTGTGACGTCAAATCCACGTCGTGCATCGACCTGTCGCTGTCGGAGCCCCGGCCGCCGTCCCGCCCCCGCATCCTGCTCAAGGCCCCGACTCTGGCCGAGATGGAGGAGATGAACATCTCGGAGGTGAGGGACACTGTTCTTCTTTGGGTGGAATCCTTGTTGTCTCTTAGAGTTCAGAGTTTATTCTTCAGCATCTACAGAAATACCATTACAACTACAAGCCCGGGACAACCACAAAGAGACACAAAACAACCACAAAGAGACACATAACAACCACAACCACAAAGAGACACAAAACAACCACTAAGAGACAAAAAACAACCACAAAGAGACACAAAACAACCACAAAGAGACACAAAACAACCACAACCACAAAGAGACACAAAACAACCACAAAGAGACACAAAACAACCACAACCACAAAGAGACACAAAACAACCACAAAGAGACAAAAAAACAACCACAAAGAGACACAAAACAACCAACCACAAAGAGACACAAAACAACCACAAAGAGACACAAAACAACCACAAAGAGACAAAAAACAACCACAACCACAAAGAGACACAAAACAATCACAACCACAAAAGAGACAAACAACCAACCACAAAGAGACACAAAACAACTAACCACAAAGTGACACAAAACAACCACAAAGAGACACAAAACAATCACAACCACAAAAGAGACAAACCACCAACCACAAAGAGACACAAAACAACCAACCACAAAGAGACACAAAACAACCCCAAAGAGACACAAAACAACCACAAAGAGACACAAAACAACTATAAAGGGACACAAAACAACCAACCACCAAGAGACCACAAACGGCACGTGCATATTCATTTCAGGTGCATGGGGATCTTAAAGCGTCTTCTAGGCCACTAGTTGTCGACTGGGACCCGTTTTCAGTAGGACGCTGATCCGGGGGTGTGCGATTGACTTCCTGTCTGGACGGAGGGGGACAGTCTGCTCTGACTTTAGCTGAGACGGACTGCGGTGCGGCGTGAGGAGTCGGCCACTTGTGCGTGTTTTGGGAAAATTGAGTAGAATGTAAAAGAAAATATTTCCCTCTCTATCATTGTTCTTTTGGTTTGGCCTTAAAATCGTGTTTTGTGTCAGCATACTGTTATATTCTAGAAGTATTGTGTGTTGCCCTCTGTCCTTCACTTAACCATTTTCTTTATTTCCCTCCCCGACCTCCGTCACAGGAGGAGGAGTCCCCAGACTGCGGGGAGCTGAGGAGGACGGAGAGCTCCCCCACCCCTCTGAAAAGAGACCGCTCCTTCTCGGAGCACGACCTGGCCCTGCTGCGCGCCGAGATGCTCCCCTCGCTCTCCGATGCGGCCCAGCTGGGGGGGCCGGTCAGGCTGAGGGGGGAGAGGCCTCGGTCCAGGACGCTAACTGGGGCCGGACCGCCCCCTTATCACAGAGGTCAGTGTGTGACTGTAGACTGATCCTACACTTCACTTACAGTGTCTGGATAAACTATTTGAGATCTGTCCACTCATTTTGAATGGGACCTCATTGATGACCAATGAGTAAGTCACTACTGGGTTATGGCCATTTAAAACTCATGTTGCCATAGCAACACTTGCCACTGAAATAGTCACTAGCATAGTAGGATTCTGTAAATGAACTAATCCAAATGAAATGGCACAAATGTCCACTTGGACTCCCTCTCAAGCGTTCATATGTTAATTATGAGGATTTATTAGTCACATACATTAGTCTACAGTACACAAGTACTGTACATGCGCTTCAGCTCAGGCGTCAGTAGTAATATTAGCTTTATTTATAATGACCACTTTAAAAAGAGGGTTTACAAAGGGCTTCAAAAGGAACATGCCAATATTAGTGAAAATAATTATTAGTAAAACGACAAAGCTCCACAGTGGGTGAGACCAATCAATTAATCAGGAATCAGGAATTTAACTCTACAGTATGAAATAGAAGGCCAAGTGTTTCGGATGAGAAACACGCAGTACACCATGGATGAACACACGGTGGCCCTGTTGCTGCTCAAAGCACACCAGTTCTCCTGTAGGATCCCGTTCCAGCTCTGCGCAGCACGCCACCAAAATGAAGCTGGGGCTCCATCTCCCCGTCATGCACGCCCGGGGCATTTGAATGCAACCGACTACATCGAGTTAAAACGCCCCCTGCAACCAGGGCTGGGCTCAAGGCCAATAGCAATAAGTAATTTAATATTTCAGGAATCAGGAATCAGGAAACATTTATTTGCCAAAATATGCCAAACATACAAGGAATTTGTCTTGGCGGTTGGTGCACGACAGTAGACAGACAAGACAGCAGTAAGTAATAAAATAAAGTAAAATGAAATGCTAATGCAATGGGTTAGTAGAATAAGGCTATGGGTTAGTATAAAACAAGGGAATAAAGTTAAAATTTTTAAATATTAAAGACGTTAAAAAGAAAAATATTAAGCATAAAGTGCACTAACGAACAAGTAACAAACAAGTAACAAAGTGACGAGTGACGACAAAGTTTCAGTTAAAGTGACGTGTGCAGTATGAAGGGGAGTGACCGGTGGAATGTTATAGTCAGTCAGTGGGGGACCGGCTCTGTTGATGAGCCCGACTGCCGACGGGAAGAAACTGTTGGTGTGAAACTGTTGGTGTGGCGGGAGGTCTTAGTCCTGATGGACCTCAGCCTCCTGCCAGATGGAAGGGGCACAAACAGGTTCTGTCCGGGGTGAGAGGGGTCGGCCGCGATCTTTTTAGCTCGCTTCAGGGTCCTGGAAGCGAACAAGTCCTCCAGGGACGGCAGATTGCAGCCAATCAGCCTCTCTGCAGAGCGGATGACGCGCTGCAGCCGGCCCTTGTCCTTGGCTGTGGCTGCAGCGTACCAGACGGTGATGGAGGAGCAGAGGATGGACTCCATGATGGCCGTGTAGAAGTGGACCATCATCGTCTTTGGCAGGTTGAATTTCTTCAGCTGCCTCAGGAAGAACAACCTCTGCTGAGCCTTCTTGGTGATGGAGCTGATGTTTAGCTCCCACTTGAGGTCACTTAATGTTCTCTCCGTGAAACGTAGCTACTCAAATCGCCACATCGTTTTCTTTAGAGTCGATTGTTTGGTTTGGAAGTTACACATTTCTTTGTATCACTTCATAGAGCAGAAGATAAAAAAATATGTACGTATGAATCATAAATTGTATGAATAGACTTCTCTATAAAAATATTGTGTATAGATAGAAATAAAAGTAGCACATTTGGTGTTGTAGTGAATATTTTAAAAAATAGTTTCAAGTTATGTTTTGTAATATTGTACACATTTAAAGATAGTACTGATGAATAGAAATATGAAATAGATATCACCGCAAAACGTCTCCAGCTCATTACTTACATTAAGAAAATGACTTCTGTTGTATTAAAATATGCAAATGGTCATCTAATGGTAACTTTTTGTGAATGAGAAATCTACAGTGGCAAATAGACAAACGTATTGAAATAGAAACTCGATGGTCATGATGGTGAATTTAATATTGTTGTGCCAAACTGAAATCAAACCGTGAAACTGTGCACTTAGCTCATCAATACAGCGGCTACTGACATAATTCCCCTTTACAAAGGGCCTCCAGGCGGAGCAGTTGGAAACTACTTTGATGGTTTCCATTCCGCTTGTAACTGTGTATTTATTCCATTAAAAGTAACGGTTTTTCGACCTTTAATGACCCAAATTGCCTTTGTTGTTGTAGGAACATGGTGTCCCCACTGCTTCCAATCTCCTCGGTTATACCTTGAGCACTAACCTTATTAAATTACTGCTACCTCGCTGAAATAAGAGCTGAACCAGTGGTCCTAGAGTTCTTGCTGACGGGGGGTTGAAAGTGATTACATCTGCCGTGAAGCTGTTGTTAGGGATTCTAGTCACATCTAAAGATGTGCTGATGAAGTCTAACTGAGTGAAGGACGGTGGAGGCTAATGGGTTTGAAATGTGTGCCGCACGTAACCACAGGGAGCATGTTGTCTGTTCCATGGCCAGGGTTTGTGCATTAGCAGCCCGGAAGCTCGACTCGAATCCATTCTCAGTCTGCAAGCCGACCCTGCCAGCTGCGTGCCGTGCACGCCACACATTAGGGGACTACGGGCCCCTGGGCACAGACCTTAAAAGGCCCCGACAACACAGACCTCATGGCTGTTTTCTCTCTTTTTGTTGGAGTTTTGTGTCTTGTTGTAGTTGTTTTAGTATTCGTGTAATTATTTTTGTCTCCGTATTGTATTGTCATTTTGTTCCATTTTCTCCATTTTGTTGTCCGTTTGAATCTAGTAGTTTTGTTTCTCTTTGTAGTTGGTTGCAATCTGCTTGAGGTTGTTTTGTGTCTCTTTGTAGTTAGTTAGAGTCCATTAGTTTAAGTCTGTTCGAAGTAGTTTTGTGTCTCTTTGTAGTTAAAGTGTAATTGTAGTTAGTTTGAATCTGTTCTTTTGTGGCTCTTTGTAGTTGGTTTGAATCTGCTTGAGGTTCTTTTGTGTCTCTTTGTAGTTAATTTAGATCTGTTTGAAGTTGTTTTGTGTCTCTTTGTAGTTAATTTGAATGTGTTTGAAGTTGTTTTGTGTCTCTTTGTAGTTAGTTTGAATGTGTTTGAAGTTGTTTTGTGTCTCTTTGTAGTTAGTCTATTTGTAGTTAGTTTGAATGTGTTTGAAGTTGTTTTGTGTCTCTTTGTAGTTAGTTTGAATGTGTTTGAAGTTGTTTTGTGTCTCTTTGTAGTTAGTTTGAATGTGTTTGAAGTTGTTTTGTGTCTCTTTGTAGTTAGTCCCTTTGTAGTTAGTTTGAATGTGTTTGAAGTTGTTTTGTGTCTCTTTGTAGTTAGTCTCTTTGTAGTTAGTTTGAATGTGTTTGAAGTTGTTTTGTGTCTCTTTGTAGTTAGTGTGAATGTGTTTGAAGTTGTTTTGTGTCTCTTTGTAGTTAGTCCCTTTGTAGTTAGTTTGAATGTGTTTGAAGTTGTTTTGTGTCTCTTTGTAGTTAGTCTCTTTGTAGTTAGTTTGAATGTGTTTGAAGTTGTTTTGTGTCTCTTTGTAGTTAATTTGAATGTGTTTGAAGTTGTTTTGTGTCTCTTTGTAGTAGTCTCTTTGTAGTTAGTTTGAATGTGTTTGAAGTTGTTTTGTGTCTCCTTGTAGTTAGTCTCTTTGTAGTTAGTTTGAATGTGTTTAAAGTTGTTTTGTGTCTCCTTGTAGTTAGTCTCTTTGTAGTTAGTTTGAATGGGTTTTTAAGTTGTTTTGTGTCTCCTTGTAGTTAGTCTCTTTGTAGTTAGTTTGAATGTGTTTGCAGTTGTTTTGTGTCTCTTTGTAGTTAGTGTGAATGTGTTTAATGTAGTTTTGTGTCTCTTTGTAGTTAGTCCCTTTGTAGTTAGTTTGAATGTGTTTGAAGTTGTTTTGTGTCCCTTTGTAGTTAGTGTGAATGTGTTTGAAGTTGTTTTGTGTCTCTTTGTAGTTAGTTTGAATGTGTTTTAAGTGGTTTTGTGTCTCTTTGTAGTTAGTTAGAGTCTCCTTGTAGTTAATTTGAATCTGTTCAAAGTTGTTTTGTGTCTCTTTACAGTTGGTTTGAGTCTTTTTGATGTTGTTGAGTCTTGTTGTAATCTTTTTGTGTTTTCTTTAAAAGGGCTCTAGTGTCTTTGTGCGGTAGATGCGGTCAGTGACCCATCCACAATCCTGAGACAATAATGGAGTCTGATCTAATGTATTATGCACTACATGACTCTGCCAACAGGGGGCTCTCCAGCTTAACTCTGGCCCTTTCTCAATAATTAAGACGGCGAGAACGGACTTGCAAGCATAGACTCGGGAGCATCAGAGTAAATATATTTAATCTCAGACATAAAATAATTAGGCAAAATATCTCAATGGATCAGTTCAGAGTTGTTATACAGTCGAACATCTTTCTAAAGAAGATAAAGAGGAGCAGCTGTAGTTTGTGGTGTTGCTGAACTTTAATGGTTTACACTGACAGCTGTATAACTCATTTGTATTCATATTGGATGGAAGAAACACATAAAACGTAACTGAGGTGAACATTGAATTCAGGGCTGTTGTATCACACTGCATTAGTTTTATAAAGGTTTCATAAAGTAAGAGGAAGTTGGATACGGTAACAATAATTAAATAAATTCATATTTTACTGGACAGTAGCACATTCCAAGTGCACACCTACCGTTTGTCTTCTTGTTACTCAAACATTAAGAAACTGATAATCAGTGTAGTGGCCCTCGTACAGTTGAATGCACAAACATCACTATAAATTAAATTAAACCTGAACCTCATTTGTGTCTCTACATCAATAGTGATTAAACTCATAGTACTTTTTCTATATAATATAGTGATCAATGAGGCTACATACCGTAAGATAGGTGACATCATCGGTGATTAACATGCTACAGTTAGATAGGTGAACTAACACACCCGCCCATTTTATCTGGGTAGTTAGATTCTCGGTAAAATGTGCGGGGCGAGTCACATCCGGGTATTATGACCGTTCTTGGCGAGATGCGGACTTCGGAATTGGAACAGCACTCTGGCTGTTCAGAGTCCACATGAGAACGCGGTGTCTTCGGCAGCTGATCCAAAGTAGACAAACTGATGACGTTTTACTGGCCTCTTTCAGCCGGTTCACTTTCCATTAGAGCCAAATTGACAGCTTCCATTTGCAGGAACAAAGAGGCACCCAGATTCAGCCACGTGCATTTAACCCCCTCCCATCATCGACTGACTGAGCCTCCTGTGAGTTCCTTTTTTAACAGTAACCACTGAGCTGGGATCTAAGTTACAGATGTAGCAGCATGGGCCGAATCACTCCACTGGAATCAGATGAATAATTCACGGAAGCAGAGTCGATCGTCCAGCTCTCTAAACGAAGGCCAGAGATCTGAGACGGAGCTGAATGAACGAGGCTGATGTGTAATTCATGGACTTGTTAGACTGGGATTCGTGGCTGTGTCTCACTTACTGTCTGATGATGTCCCCATTTGATTTGGCCGTTGGGGGATAGCTTTGTTTTGCTACGTGTCGCCTCGTGAACAATGGGCACAACCGCTGTCGAAATTGTTCCAATATTGGAGAAGGTGGCAGGCAGAAGATGTTATCCCTCGCGGCAACTCCTCGATGTACGTCCACATGAGGGCTGGTTCCCTCGTCAAGGGCGGACTCGGGGTGTTATTTGAAGTACCTGACTACAGGGTGAACCTAAGGACCAATAAATATCTTCGATAAACGTTCACGCGGGCTGTCTGTTGCATTCCCATTGTCTTAATAAGCTAAACCATGAAGTTACTTTGGCTGAGCTACACTTGTTGTCCAACACAACAAACTTTGACAACACCTGCACTCATCTCTCATAATCTAACTCACCTATTTACCGTTGTCTTCTGGCAAAAAGTCACATGGCACAAAAACAAACACTTTTTGTAACCTGAATCCAGCGGAGTCCGAACCACAAACAGGCTCATGTAGCGGGCGTCCGTTGACAATGTATTGGGATTACATCGCAGCCAATGGCTGTCCTCATTAGTAACTTGGATGCATAAGCACGGGGAGAATATGAACCTTTCTTCCTCCCCTTCCTCTTCCCCAAGCCTCTTACCCGGTTCAGGGCTGGGTGCCGTCCTCCCCGGCCCGCCTGTCTCTGAGCTCGGTTGACGAGACCACGGAGAGGTCGGACACGCCGTCCGGCTCCAGAGCTGGAGACATGCACCAGTTGATGGTGAGTTAGAAGCAACTCCCTCACTGGTAAGGACAGCGCACTGGAAACTCATTGAAACAAGTCTGTCGTTGTTATAATATCACACGTCCAATATTTTATGTATGACAGATTGATGTCATGAATTATGAAACTTGATGTCATGAATTATGAAAACAGCAAATTACCTTGGTGGGAGGTCTATTTAGAAGCTGCTCTGGAGCTTTAGGTCATACTACATGATGTTTGCCCAGTAGTCATGGAAATGGAAATAATAAAGTGTCTTTTTCTTTAAATGCCTCGAAGGAATTCTTCACCCCAAAATTAAATGAATTTGACAATAGAGAGTAAACTAAAACTGCTGGGTCTCCTCTCCTCTTCAGGAGGAGTTTAGTCACCCGGTGGAGAGTCTCGCTTTGACGGTGGATGAGGTCATCAACGTGCGCCGAGTTCTGGTCAAAGCGGAGATGGAGAAGTTTCTTCCGAACAAAGAGCTTTACAATAACCTGAAGCGAGGCAAGGTACCGGCGTGGAACTTAGCTAATCGATTCTTCCCACTTTCCCGTGTTTACGGAAGAGGTACTCAGTGTGTGTGTGTGTGCGTGTGTGTGTGTGTGTGTGTGCATGTTTCTCAGGTTTGCTGCTGCTGCAAGGTGAAATTCCCTATCTTCTCATGGCCATCTACCTGCTTACTGTGTAAAAGGTATCAAGACTTACATCCCTCCCGTTTTCTGAAATGTTTATTCCACATTCATCCTTAAATCCCGCATGATGTTTTTCCCGAGATACAATGCGATACTAGAGCATGAGCCTGATGTTATATTTTATTTTTTTATGAACTGCTCAATATATTTTCTGTAGATAACGTGAAGGTCGATCCATCTTCTCCCCCTTATCTGAGGTCGGGTCGCGGGGGCAACAGTTCCAGCAGGGGACCCCTAACCTCCCTTTCCCGAGCCACATCTACTAGCTCTGAATGGGGGAACCCTAGGAGTTCCCAGGCCAGTGCAGAGATATAATCTCTCTACCTAGTTTTGGACCTTCCCCGGGACCTCTTCCCAGCATGGGGCATCGTTACCAGATCCCCAAACCACCTCAACTGGCACAAACGAGCAGCGTCTCTAATCCGAGCTCCTCCATCTCTAAGGGAAACCCATTTCGGCCGCTTCTACCCGTGACCTACTTCTTTCGGTCATGACCCATCCTTCATGACCATAGGTGAGGATAGGTGATGGACCGGTAGATTGAGAGCTTTGCCTTTCGGCTCAGCTCTCTTTTTGTCACACCGGTGCGGTAAAGCGAGTGCAATCCCGCCCCCGCTGCTCCGATTCTCCGGCCAAACTCACACTCCATCTTCCCTCCACTCGTGAACAAGACCCTGAGGTACTTGAACTCACTTGGGGTAAGGACCCATTCCCCACCCGCAGTGGGCAATCCATTGGTTTCCTGCTGAGAACCATGGCCTCAGATTTAGAGGTGCTGATCCTCATCTCAACCGCTTCACTCTTGGCTGCGAACTGCTCCAGTGAGAGTTGGAGGTCACAGACAGAAGATGCCATCAGGACCACATCATCTGCAAAAAGCAGCGATGAAATCCGCAGTCCCCCGAACTGTAGACCCTCCTCCCCCCGACGACGCCTTGATATCCTATCCATAAAAAACCCAAACAAGATCCCGCAGAACCTCCCACATGATCTCTTTGGGGAGCCGGTCATACACCTTGTCCAGGTCCACAAAACACATGTAGACTGGATGAGCATACTCCCAGGCCCCCTCCATGATCCTTGAAACAGTAAAGAGCTGGTCCGTCGTTCCACGACCAGGACGAAAACCGCATTGTTCCTCTTCAATCCTTGGTTCGACTATCGGCCGAACCCTCCTTTCCAGCACCTTGGAGTAGACTTTACCAGGGAGGCTGAGTAGTGTGATGTCCCTGTAATTGGCACACACTCTCTGGTCCCCCTTTCTGAAGAGAGGTACCACCACCCCGGTCTGTCAGTCTTTTGGCACTGTCCCAGACTTCTACGCAGTGTTTAAGAGCCGTGTCATCCAAGAAAGCCCCCCAACACCCATTTCAGCATCTCCTCTACCAGGTTCCACATTTCCCTCAAGTCGCTTGTATTACCTGTCACAACCTGAGAGAGAGGCAATGGAGATGTACATTAATGACTCACTGGCTGCTGGCATTATCAGAGCATCTTCCTCACCTCTGGGGGCAGGGTTTTTTTTTACTAAGAAGGATAAGACTCTCCGCCCGTGTATTGATTTTCGGGGCTTGAACAACATAACTGTTAGTACTCTGCCGCTAATCAGTTCCGCTTTCGAACCCCTTCGGGGAGCCACCATTTTCAGCAAGCTGGACCTAAGGAACGAATATCACCTGGTACAAATTTGTGATGGAGACAAATGGTAGACGTGTTTACTACACCACTGGGCTACTTCGAATACCTGGTAATGCCTTTCGGACTGACCAACGCTCCTGCAGTTTTCCAAGCGTTGTTGAACGATGTTTTGAGAGATTTTTTGAACAGGTTTGACAGGTTGACATTTTGATTTTTTCCCTTGATCTCACATCACCTTCATGTCCGCCAGGTACTCCAGAGGCTTCTGGATAACAAACTGTTCGTAAAAGCCGAGAAATGTGAGTTGGCCCGAGCCCTGCTCCAGGAAGCTGTTGCAACGGTTCCATGATTTCGGCAACTTTTAACGCCATTTTATCCGGGACTACAGTAGAGTTGCTGCTTCTTTGACCTGACTCACATCTCCTGCAGTTCCTTTCCGGTGGTCCTCTGAAGCAGATCGAGCTAATTGAAAGACCCATTCTGGTGCAACCGGACCCTTCTCTACAGTTTTTGGTTAAGGGTTGATGCGTCTGACAGTGAGGTGGGTGGTGTTCTCTCCCAACACTCTGGCCATGGTCGAAAATTGCACCCATGTGGGGGGTTTTCTCGACGCCTGTCTCCAGACCAGACCAACTATGATTGGTAACCGGGAACCTCTGGCAGTGAAGTTGGCTCTGGAGGAGTGGAGACATTGGCTGGAGATCCCTTTCATTGTGTGAACGGAACACAAGAATCTTGCCTACATCCAGTCAGCTAAACTTTTTCCATCACTTACCATCCTGGGTCAAGGAACATCGTGCCGAATGCCCTGTCTCCAGTTTGTGGTAAAGGAGTACCCGTCGTTGGTGGTGGGAGCTCTGACCATGGTAAATGATGGTTGTAGCTGGTTGTCATCTACGGTCCACTACGGTTACAGAGAGGTGTCGTTTGTGTTTTGACAACGTTTTATCTTATAGTTTCGACTTTCTATCCCTTTTCTTTAGTGCAGAAATGGGCTTCTATAGTTGTGTGAATGGATCACCCCAGCCAATCCAAAGACGGGGTTTCTAACCAATCAGATGTAGAGACGGAGATTTGCTCCTTCCCCCCCAGAGAGGTTACGTTCCACGTCCCCTGAGCCAGCATCTTCCGTCCAGGCCTGTTCCTTCTAGACCCCCCACTGTCACTGCCACCCTTGTAGCAGCGCTACAGTTTCCCCCACAGGTGGCGCGGCACTTCTTCGGGCTGTGCCGTTGGCGTCCACGGCAAGCCCGGCCACCAGACGCTCGCTGTTGGGCCCGCCGTCTGGGCCTGGCTCCAAATGGGGGCCAGGTTAGCTCCTTCCCTTTCGCTTTTTCATAGGGTCTTTTTAACTAACAAACGGTCTAACAAGGAGTCCAAAATCGTCTTTACTTTAAGTTCAGAATGAACTGAATGAAGTTAAGTTCCTTGATGGAGTTTGAAAAGGTATACGTTGATGGACTGAGCTGCCGCTTGAGGTACACATCTGCTAGATTAAAGCAAACACGAAGCTGTGGTATTCATTCATTCATGTCATCCTGTCATTTCAGCATTAGACCAGCTATCTGTATCGCCGGGGAAGAGACCTGTCAGAAGAGATGACTATCAGATTAACAACTGGTTGTACGGAGTACAGTTTAAATGTCTTCTCCATGATCATAATCTAGAATCAAAGACAAACAAGAAACACACCTCAAGCTGCTCAAGGGGTTAGAGACAGACAGAGAAGCTCCATACTGGACATATTTCTCGCTCCCATTATATGATCCAAGCTAGCAAGAACCTGTATGTGCATTGATTCATTTTACCTTTCTCTTACAGAGCTGTCTGTGGCTCCTGCAGTGCAAAGGTAACTTTAAGAACTTATAGCGTTATAGATGGCCACACTCAACACTTAGTAAAGTTGTTAAACTTGGTTTTCAACCAGGCCTCAGCGTTTGGTAGCCAAAAGGAGTATACGGTTGAAATTTCAAATCATTATATATATATTTACATTATAAGTAATTAAAGGACTTCATCCAAATACTATGCATCGTGACCTGTGGAGTACCAGTCATAAGTTTGGATACACCTTCTCATTGAATGAGAAAATCTGTCCAAACTTTTGACTGTTATTGCAAATCATCATGTATCCCCTCCACCGTTACACAATATGTGAGTGATGACATCATGTCTTCTGTTGTCCTGTTGCCGGTTTGTATGTGTTGCCTTGTGGGATGTGTGGTTCTGAAGGACGTGTCTTTGAAAGACACGTTTGTTGTGTACGTGTGTAAGTACTGTCGTTATTTTCCTCCGGTTCGTCTTCCTTTGGTCCAGATGAAGATCCCCTCGAAGAAGGTGTCCCACATTCCTGTGTACACCGTTGGCTTCCACAGCACTCCGAGGAGCCACGGACACAAGAGCCAAGTCTATAAGTGAGTTTGGCTTCACCTGTAGAGACGACTGCTCATGCATTCATACAAGCTGACTGAGAATGCAAAGATTGCACCGAAGAGCCGAAAAGACACGATTTTGTCTGATTTTGAATTGTTGTCCATGATTGAAGGAGATGGAAAAGAACGTTGTTCTATATTGGTCACCTCCCCACCAGGGGGAAGATAACACTGTCATGCATGATTAGAAAGATGGGAGAGAACACTTTGTTTACACCTAGACCAACACGCTTTGTAAAATGACTTTGGATACTGTCCAGACCCTGAATTGATTTGAACCACGTCCCAGTTCAAGAGGTCACAGGTCGTGGCCCGAGTTTAATCTTTGGATGTGGTGTGATAAAAGAAAAAAAACGTAAAACAAAATGCTGTGTCAGAGATAACTGTGTTCCCCGCCGGCCATCCGCTCAATCCTTGTGAACGCGACGTTTCATCGGCGGTTGGAGTAAATACCTTTCAACTTCGACCAACGTCATCTTTGAGGGTCAAAAGGTCACTGCGATCTGACAGAACAGGTTTCCAATGCTGACAAATGTATGAAGTCACGACCGTGCGTCCACATGTAGAGGTAAACTTTTTGGTTTACAAAGACGAGCAGTAATTCTACGAGTGTAATTGCTGCTTTATGCTTAATGAATAATGTGGATAACGTCGCACCTTAAGGCCATTATAGAATTCTAAGTGAAACAATATGAGAACAAAGCTGGTGACGAATGCAACGTGTAACAAGGGTTCATGAGGAGCTGAAACTGAGCAGAAACTGAGCAGAAACGGCCGCTTAACCATTTACCCTCAATCCAATCAACCCCCCGACCCCCCGACCCCCCGACCCATGCTGGTGTTACACAATCAGCGCCGTGGCCTCTAAGCGGCCATGATGTAACAGTCACCCAGCTGTCGTCAATACCCTCACTCCTTGTGCCTGTGTGAAGACGGACGGGGGAGAGACTGGAATAGTAGGTTTTATAACATGAAATGTTAATTTAATCAGTGAAGATTACCTTAATCTTTAGTGGTCTTTTTTTTGTTCTCACACAATTTTATTGTGTGTCGTGTTAAATTAGATTAAAGGCAAACAAGATAAAGTACGGCTTCGTTCTTCCTCACTTCCTTTGCTGTTAATTAGTTAGATATCTCACATTAATCCTCTTGGTGAACAAGTGGGCAAACTTGACAAAACGTTGGATTCCTAATATTTCATTTTTTCACAGTAAATTATAATTAATATTATATATTATTATTATTGTTTATTATGGAGCAGTCAATTGAGAAATATGAGGGAATATAATCTATGCCCGAGAGAACATTTTATGTCATATATTTTCATATAGTTAAGTAGCAAAAATATCCTTTTTGCGCTTCCATAATATCTGAAGACGGATTTGAAAACCGAAGAGGCAGAAATATTCAGACTTAAAACATGCTACGCGACAGGATGGCACCTTTTTTATTTCCCTTTTTTTCTCAGGTTGCATTGAAACGGATGAATTTGGATGATTTGATTTGTTGCAGACGTCGGCACAGCATCTGTATTCGCATCTGTATTCATTCCCCTCTGCAGGTCCCTGCGCAGCCTGTCCCGCCGCTCCGTGGAGGAGGAGTTCCCCCACCTGTACACACACGGCTGCACGCTGCGCGACGTCTGCGCCGAATGCACCAAGTTCGTCGCCGACGTCATTTCCTCCAGCCGCCGCAGTCTGGACGTCCTCAACAACACCCCCAAGAGGGAGGCCGCCCCCCAGAGGCCGCAACTGCAACGCCAGTCACACCTCCAGACTTGCCCTCGGCCTCACCCTCAGTGTCACCCCCAGTGTCACCCTCCTCCCTAATCACGGGGTTGGCACATGCTTGCGCGCACGCGCACTTTGCTCCCGTGCTACACTGTGTTGCACCATCAAGCTCTTTAAATACGCACACACACACACACACACACACACACCCTCTCCTTAACCAGAACGAGGAGTTCTTTAAGGGTTTTAATGGTGACACACCAGTGAGGACACAATGGATGCTCTGCTATCTATCTATGAAGCTTTTGCTGTGGCTGCTTTTTTAGCGAGGAGCTAGAGACGCTTAAACCACCACCCCCCCCCCCGCGGTCGCCTTCTTGTTTGTGTCCTAAATTGCATTCAAGAGACAGAATTTTAAAATGACAAGCCGGTAAAAGTGTGTGTTTATTATATTGTTATATGCTTGTGAGGCCCGCGGGCGGCCGGACGAGGTGCGAGGGCGGCGGCGGCACTGTGAACGTATCGGGCCGGAGGCTCAAGGCCACAACCATTTTTTTTATTTTTGTTCTTCTTTCGTTACCGACGCAGCGCGATGATGGCGATTTTTAAGCAAGCCCGAAAAGGAAGTCCCGCCTCTTTCACTTCTCACGGGCGCTTGCAATCTGCCTTGGTTTTGTACGCTAAGTAAAGTTCAACTGCAATAAAATCTAACAACAAACACCCCCCCCCCAGTGCTGCTTCGGCCTCGTGCTGTTGTGTGAAAGCCCCCCCCCGCGTTTGGCTCTGTTACAATATATCACCACTATAGCAGCAACGATTATGCGGCTATTTTTAAACACGTCCAAAAACCTTAAAAGTGAAGTGTTTTCCCTCCATTGTGCACGGGTCAAAAATAAAAACTCATGTCAAAGAAGATCATTGCATTTCACACGATCGCTGAAAACTTTTAGGATAGAACTAAAACATACATGGCATCACTTTATCTTAAATTTAGTTGAGCAATAAATATTTATAATAAAATCATCCCATATACTAAAAGCAACAACTGGTTGTTTTTTTTAGAATATAATTGCTTTGTTTTTTAATTCTGGCTCTGTTTTTCACCACGTTTCACCAAGATGAAGTATGAATATTTACCATTACTTGTCAATCGAAATGCAGGGACTATAATAATCTCAAATCGTGTCCTATTGTCCGGCCTCCTTCGATATTAAGCTCTCACCACAGCAGAGGCGAGCAAATGATTTATTCATCGTATTTGACCACTTCTGCGGTTGAAGTCAGTGCAGTTTTGTGGACCCAAGAAGAAAGAGTTTCTCGACGTGTTGTTTAGTGGTTTTGTGAAGTGAAATCAGACGCGTTTGTCTGCGATGGAGGGACAGACATCTTGTCTCAAGCTCTCTTGGGGGAGTATTTTCTCATTTCAACATCACAGCCTCACGTTCCTTCGTGTATTTATAACGGTTGTTCTGCGATTCTTTGGTTTTGACTGAAGGAAAAGACACATTTATAAAGGTGATTCAGAAACGGAGCGTTTTAGTGTCTCTCTGTTTCGGTTATTAAAGCCTGCAGAATATGAGAACTACAGTAATAGCGGGCAGCTGCATCCACTAATGGAGGCCGCACAGTGAGGGAACCTGAGCGGGTAATAAGCGGATCCGTAATGCGTCCAAGAGTCCCGCCCCTTCCATCATGAATAAATAACGCTCAGGGCGACGTTTCTATTGGCTGTCTGCTGCTGTCACTCCGCAGCAACGGCGACAGAACTAATGAAACGGGAAGCCGAAAGATTATTCCTTCAGAATAAATGCGTAAAATGGAAAATAAATTTAATTGCTTCTTCGTCAACCTTTAATTACAAAAGCGTCCATGTCGTATTTCAGAGTAACAAAAAAAAAAACATCCAACTTATCCATGTATGCGTTTGACTACGTTGTATGCGTGTTTGTGGCTTTCCAAATCTAAAAGAAGACGTCACGTTAATGGTTTTTTTTTTTGCATGTTTTATTTTGAAAGATTTCACCGGACATTCTGCTCTGGCTTTCTCGCGTGGAAGCCGGACAGCTTTAGGGCTTGAACTCAAACAACAAGCCGTCTCCGGACTGGCCCGTCACAGCCAGTTGTTCTTTTCTCCTTCCTTTTTTTTTTTTTTTTTTAGCCGGAGGGCGGAGGAGGGTCCTCCGGTTCTTCCCCGCGCTCCTCCTGCAGCCTCCGCGGGGGTGGGTGTGTCGACGCGGGGGCAGCGCGGCCTGGTTCGTGCGCGCTCCGAGAGAAAGAGGGGCAAAAAAAAAAAAAAAAGTTGGTCGGTGACTTCAGTGTGAGCGCGGAGCAGCCTCACCGGTTAGGAATGGCAGTCTGGACCCGGGCGGACAAACGCGGCCAACTGGACCTTCTGCTGCGCGACCGCTGGATCCGAGTGGCCGCCGAGCTCACCCGAGAAACGCTGACTTTAACCGCCGAGGCGGAGGCGACGGGGCCGGGGGGAAACCACTGGGACTACAACGGCTCCTCGGCGGCCCCGCGGAATGGCGTGCCGAACGGAAACGAGCCGGGGGCGAGTCCGGGGAACCCCGCTCGCGTGCCGCCCTCGGGTCCGGAGCAGCTCCAGAGCCAGAACCAAGGGGGCAGGGCGCGCGGCGGCAGCCCGGGGCGCGGGGGTGTCGGCCGGTGTCAAACCGACGGCAACTACGGCCCCAGCAGCCCCGGGAAGTACCCGAATAACTGCGCGAACTCTGAATTCGGAAGCCCCGGATCCAGCTACGGTAGCCCCGGGTCCAGCTTCGGGTCGAGGCAGGGCGACGCTGCGCTCAGCCCGGACGGCTCCTCGGAAGCCGTGCGCAAAGTCCGAGTTGTCAAACAGGAGTCCGGCGGGCTCGGGATCAGCATCAAAGGGGGCCGCGAGAACCGGATGCCGATCCTCATCTCCAAGATCTTCCCGGGGCTCGCCGCCGACCAGAGCCGGGCTCTCCGGGTGGGCGACGCGATCCTGTCGGTGAACGGGAGCGACCTGCGGGAGGCGACGCACGACCTGGCGGTGCAGGCGCTGAAGAAGGCGGGGAAAGAAGTAACGCTGGAGGGTAAGTGAGCCCACGCTACGGCGAGGACTCGCCGAGGCCGAGAGGAGAGCCCCGCGGCCCCAGAACTTATTATACTTCTTACTTATACACTTTATATGTAGTATGTATTATATATATATACTTTATATATAGTATGTATTATATATATAATATATATATATATAATATATTTATATATATATATATATAATATATATTTATATATAAAATATATATAATATATTTATATATAAAATATATATAATATATTTATATATATATATATCATATATTTATATATAAAAATATTTATATATTTTTATATAAATATTTATATATATAATACATATATATAATATTTTTTATATATATATAAAGGCTATAATATTTATATATATACATATACATACGCACTATAGTTTAAACTAGACAGATATATAAACACATATCTGCGGTAGTCTTACCTGCACCCTGAAACTCAGAAATAAGACTCAAACTTTTAACAATAAATTTACTTAAAAATAAAAAATAAAAATCTAAACTAATAACATCAAAATGTAAATTTTATACATGTAGTGTTGCTTCGTCTCCAGCAGTGTAAGAATGACCTGGAGGGGCTATATTAATAAAGAGGATATGGTATTCACACTACGGGTTCCTTTTGAATAAGACTCACAGGATGCACGTTGTCTGCCATCATCTCACGCGCGAAACAACCATCGCCTTGAACACCTCCAGCACTCATGCTGCCATTGATTGATCGATCGATCGATCAGGGCCCCCATGACCCGGCTGGTCTGGGACCAGAGGAGGAGCGCTGCCGAAGTTCCACACGTCGTCCTCGGCGGGTTGCTGGGGGGGGGGGACGAGACGATGACGTCGGTTTCTGTGAGGCGCTGATTCTGCCCGCGAGCGAACGCAAAGAGGAACATGCTCGTGGGCTGAGGGGAAATCCACATGTTTCACCAGCACAGAGCAGAATAGACAACCAATTGTAGCGTAATGCAGAAGTGTATTACAGTAGAAGCGTGTCCTAAAACATGTAAGGACTGTGAATAATCCCACCAACTAATAATAGATGCGTTTGGAAATGTACAAGTCGTATGAGGCCATAGAACGTGTGTTATTCATCTCACTTGTTTGTTGTCGGATGCGACTGCAAAACGGAATATAAATGAAACCATTGTGGCATTTTTCACCGAACCGTTCAATGACCCTCAATCGTTGCCTCCTGATACTTTCACCCGCCTGTTAAGTTGCAACGCGGGGGCGGCCGGCCAGGGTTGAGCGCCCGGCGTCCAGCGGCTAAAGGGCCAGATGTTTCTCCTGAGAGTTGGCGGAGACCAAAACGGAGATAAAAAGGAGAGCTAACGGGGGGGGACAAACGTCTAGTGAGCGCTGCTCTCTGTCTGCAGCAACTGAACACTTAGTTACAGGTTGCTCAATATTTAATCGAATGTTTTTCTGGCTAGCAGCAAATGAATGGGAAGCTTGGGAAGAATGTGTCGGCCCTCCGTCACTGTTTGTCAGCTTGGGGCCAGAGGCGAGCTCCGGGCGTCCTCCCAGTGTCTCCTCCTGCCGTCTCCCACGACGGAGCGAGTCTCTCCCAGGACGCCATGCCACGTACACGACACATACCCCCCCCTCACAATTAGCTTAGGTGCCCCACATTCCTGACCTCCGCTCGCATGTGCATATTTAGGGCAAAGGTCAACAGCGGAGGCGAAAGTGTTTTATCTGTAAAGGTTGTCGATCCCAATATTGCAGCTCCACTCCAGAGTCTCTCGTCTTCTTTGGCTTCTTTCAATCTTATTTCATTGTATCCAGGATGGACACACAAGATCGTTTCACCTAAAACAGAGAGAACTGAACCAATGGGGGGGACGTGAAGAGATGTAATACGCGCCGAGTTGAGACAATCCGACGCGGGGGAATAAGTTGAGCCTTAGTGAGCGTGGGCGACCGCGGCTGAGCGGAGAGCAGGGTCGTCCTCCAATCGGAAGGGGTGGCGGTTCCATGCCGGGGGCCCTGCCGACCTCTGCGTCCATGTGTCCTTGGGCAAGGCGCTTAACCTGTTGGCATGAAGCCGTAACCTGGCGGCTATGCGGAGTTGGAGCTCCTTATTATGTTGATAAAGGTATTTGGGGCCGGATGCGGTCGCCTGGGATCTTGGTTTCGCCCGTTGAGTGAACGTTTGTTGGCCACAGGAGCGATTTGAATACGGGCTTTTCTGCCCCATTAACCCATGACGTATCCCGGACTGATTAATCCCCCCCCCCCCACCACCACCACCACCACCACCACCCCTCCACGCCAGCTGACCGACATAATATCCCACATGTCCAGATGATTAGTTTGTCAGCTGGCGTCTCATTGGTTAATCCCGGCGGCGGGAGGAAGGAGCCCTTTCGTGCGGGTAATTGGAGGACACAGGGGCTATTGAGGGAAACCAGGGCCGAGATCTGCCCGACGGGACGGGACGGGGGGGGGGAGTGCGCTCGGCCCCCCCTACTGGGCCCCTGTCAGTGCGGTGCCTGCGATGTCCCATCGGCAGATATGTCGCTGGTGTCCAGCCGGAGAACTTTAAATGGACTCCCGGAATGCGACGGACACGCACCAGTTTGCCAATTTTGATTTTTAGATGTTAGTAGTAAATATATTAACTAGTTAGATTCATGCCAGCTAACAAGTAACCATTTAATGCTGTAACACAAATTAGTTTGGGCTATTTCAATGATTTGGAAACGGCAAACATTTATTCCCATAATACGTCAGAAATACAAGTACACGGGAAAGTTAGTTTCGTAAATATTTTAGTGTTTCAAGTATTTTTCTACAGTACAACCTGCTTGGTTTTAACTTTCAGGTACTCTCTTGCATATTTTCAGTGGTATCCAGTTGTATAGATTTGGCAAATCAATCATTCAACGTGTCGTTGTTTTCAGGTGTCCCAATATTTCTGAGAGTTTGGAGCACAATGTGTCAAATGGATCATTTCTCCAACAAATCGTCCCCATCAAATTTTTCGACCTGTCCCGTATCCTGACGTACGTCGAGTCAAGTGGTTATTGTCCGGTGGTCATAATGTACCCCAGTGAGCCACTCTCAACCAATCAGAACGCTGGATTTCATCTACCCGTATTCTAGTCGGCGATAACGTACAGTCGCTGTTCACAGGAAAGTGGCTTATAGGATGCCGGTGTTGTAGATCGTGATTTCCTCAAGTGCTTCAGTGGCGGGATTAGTGGTCTCATTTAGCAGAGGTGTCAAGTAACGAAGTACAAATACTTCGTTGCTGTACTGGCTATCTATACTTTACTGGAGTATTTATTTTTCAGACGACTTCTTACTTCTACTCCTTACAGCCTCGTTACTTCCGGCTTGTCGTAGTTCAAAAACACAAACACAAAAAAACCCCCATCCAGATAAACGGCGCCATGCGGACAGTGAACGTGATTGTGGTTGGATGAGAAGTATAAACATTGAGCATCCAGACACCCGGTTGGTTTTCTCCGCGATGCGCCGGCAGATCGGAGCGACACCGGGTGGGAAAAGTGGTGGAAAGTTGGTATTTATCAACACGGACCCTCCTCCTCTTCCTCCTCTTCCTCACGCAGATTCCACGTAACGTTAGATGATGACCGTGAGTTTGTCCTAAATGTTTTATTGAGAGTCTGGCACAACACAGCGACTTTCTTACATTACTTTTGCATTCATACTTTTAAGTAGTTTTGAAACCAGTACTTTTATACTTAAGTAAAGCGCTTGAGTCGATACTTCATCTTCTACAGGAGTCTTTTTAAACCCCAGTATCTGTACTTCTACTTGAGTAATGAATGTGAATACTTTTGACACCTCCTGTCATTTAGCCACTTTACAAAGAAAGGCCCTAAAATGAACTTGAGAGATCTCCACTGATCTAGTTCTGCTAGTAGAACGTCTAACCAAAAGCATATTGACTTTGACAAATGCACAGAGGAAGTGCCAAAAAGGCTGATTTATGTGCAAATGTGCAATTATACTGCGTCTGCACATTTACACTCCCAACACATTTTGTAGCTCACGAAGTCGCATCTCTGCGTTCGCCTTGTCACGTGGACCCGAATTGTCGGATGTCGGCGTCATCAAATCGTCCCCTTTTTAAGATACGAAGTGGGGTTTGAACAAGAGGAACGATCAGTAAGCCCCCCTGAACGAGTCCCCGACGCTATTGTGAATGTGTGTCTGCACGCGTGAGGACGTCCATCACACACACACACACACACACACACACACACACACACACACACACACGGACATGTTGTTCCCATTAGCTCTCTAATGCACAAAGGGACTTTGAGGCAGGAGGTAAAAGGGGGAGAATGAAAAGGGGACGAGTTTAAGAAGCAAAAGACGGAGGTAAAACCGTCCGAGAGGGAAGGGAAAGAATGGGGGACAGGAGGGAGGGAGGGAGGGGGGGACAGCTAGAGAGAGACAGTAAGACTGTCAGAAACCAGAGAGCAGCAGGCCAAACCACAGAGGAATTTCTGGGCAGTTTTGGGGGGGGGGGGGAAATACCAAAGCTGGGGTCTGACTGCCTCACCCGCTGCTCTGCAAGCTATTATTTTGTAATTTCGGCCATACCATCAGATGGTTGCGTGTGCGCGCAACCAAATATGTCGAGTCAGACTCTTCCACGCTCCTGCACAGCATCCTTTTCCCCCTCCTGTCCTCTCGCACAGAGAGCTTTTCAAGCTGCGCTCGAAACATGTCTTCGTTGCACGCGTCAAAATGACACGTTTAAGGTCACAATGTAACTGGTCCTCTGTGTGCGGACCTAATTAGAAGCAAAAGCGGTGCTGCCAGAACTACTAATGAGTTCATTTCACTCCCAACAAAGAGGCCGACAGACATGGCGTGCAAGTTGAAAGCACATTTTCTATTCGAGATCGATTTATTATCCGGCAGGAAAGCGGGCGGCGTGACTGGAGCTGGACGCGGCCGTTGCCGACAGGGCGAAATGGATGCAGCATCTCGGCTGTTCAGAGGCCACGTCTCGTGACCAACTGTCCGATGTCCGTGCTGGCTGGCGGCTGCAACTAACGATTATTTTGATAATCGATTAATCGGTTGATTATTTCTTCGATTAATCGATTAATCGTTTTTTGTTTTTTTTTAAACGGCATTAAAAAGCTATAATTTCCAACCCTTTATTCTAAAACGGAACCTCAAATTCGTCAGAACTAGTTCTCTATACTACACTCACAAACACACCCTCAACACATTGAAAAATGAATGGTCCAAAAGAGGCGAGTAAATAAAAACGTGTCTTAGTCTTAGCTAACTGCTTTACTGCTGTTATTAGCGAGCTAACGCTAGCTTGACCAGCTGGATGACGAGTGAACAGGAGGCTTGTTTACGTCGCTCACGCTGAAAACGGGACAACGACACAACGAATCGATAATGAAAGTCGTTGCCAACGCTTTTAATCATCGATTTTTATCGATTCGATGTTGCTGCCCTAGTGCTGCCGTCTAAAGGCTGCGGCGCTCACGGCGCTTTCATTTAGCCAGAGAGTTGAATAGGAGCAGATGGACGGTGGTCCGCGGTGGCAACATCTCACAAGCTTCACGGCGGCAATGTATCACCGTTAATGTATCACCCAATTCCTAATCATAGCACGTCAATAAACATATTATATATCGAAATTTAGAGCCAGAGAAGTGGAGAAAAATAATGGACAAATGTGACATTACCATATTTATGGCGCCATATTTAAAGATTTTCCAATACCTAAAAATCTCCTTTTTTGAAACGACTGGATTACTTCAAGTTTCCCGCCAAAAACCCACATTCCACAAGATTTGAACACCAGAACTTTTTATGTTCAGTTTTTATATTTGACCTAATAGAGCTTGAACGCGTCTCCTATAACAATCCCCCATCAAACATCGGCCTTCAGCTCCGTTTTGTTTAGACCAAGCGGGGACCCGGCTGCCCGCCGCCTGCTAGCGGCTAATGCTAACTGACTCGCCTGGTGGTCGGAATTGTCGTTGCTAGCAGCTCCTCTCGCTGTTGTTTATCCGAGGGTCATAATCAGCTGGAACCAACAGTTTCTAAGTAGTGAGATCAACAAATTCAGAAACTCCTGATAATGGTGACAACCTGCTCCCACGTTCCCCTTTACAGAGAACCACGTTCGTTGTGCAACTCCCGTCGGCCCGCGACGCAAAACGAATTGTTCCCATTTCCTCTTTCTCTGGGCCACTGATTAAACGGGTGGATCTGCAGAACATTAACGCACATGCACGCACAGCTCCCAGTTAAAACCTGTTATCCGGTAGGACTGACACGGATAGCTCTTTTGCCTCTTTTCAAATTGAGCCACCAGCAGAGATATTTGCGCGTTCCGTCCGTGCATTAATTCCAGACTTCTTCGGCTTCTCAGGTTCAGTTCACCCCCCCACATACACAGGAGACCTGGGCCGTCCTGGAAAGGAGCTTATTCTGGTTGCAGGTCCTGCCGTGAGCTCCAAATATAACACACATTGCGCCTCATGTCGCGGGGAGTTGGACCTGCTGACGGGCACTCGCTTTGCAGACACGCGATGCTACACGACTGCAGATCGCCGCAGTACTGCGAACACATGACGCTGGACCGCTGGGGCGCCCGGAGAGCAGCGTCGCTCGGCGAGCTATTGGGTGGAAATGCGAAGATGTAAACATGATGTAGACCGCAGAGCAGCGCCCCCCCCCCCCCCCCCCCCCGGGGTAATAACCTTCTGGAAAGGAAAAAAAAAAAAAAAAAAATTTGTAGATGCTGAGCTTGCAAAATCCAGAATTTATCAATCTAATGTTACCCTCAGCTAGGACCCATATAGTCTTATTGTTTATGCAACTTTTGCATGAAATGTCACCCTTTAGAATCTAACAAGGAAGTAGTGCACGGACCGGAAATAAAGTGAGGACAAGAGGCTTTCAAATGGGCTATAATGGGAAGATGAGTGAGATGAATAGGTAACAGGGTTTAAAGCACATCCCCAAGCAAAGACCAGGGAATCACTTAAATATATTTTAATGTATATTTAATATAGCAGATGCATCCTCATAAAATTAGCCAAATTGACCAAATTGCCATCTAACAGTATCAAATATCTACCCACACTCCCATGATAAGTACACAATATCCACACAACTTTACTTTTTCATGCATAATATCAGTATGAAAACATATCATATTACAGAAACAGAAGACGAGTGCTTTAGCTCCCAAATCCCCACTGTTTGAATTCCACTCAGTCCCCTGTGACTGCTTAGCAACCCCTCTCCAGCACAATATACTTTAATTTAAAAGGGTAAAGCGTGACCACTGCCTTCTTCAGAATCAACGAGTCAAGGGTGCGCTCCCATCATTCTCTCAGCACTGCAGCATAGATGTGTTACAGCATGGCTTCAAAAAATACAACGTACAATCCGAAGAGCAAACATGAGTTGCTGATCAGGTG